CAAATAGACAAATATATATATATATATATATTGATTGTCTAGAAAATAAATAAGTTGTCAGGATTGTAAAACGAGGCGAATGAATTGCGTTACTGGTACGGGTAACTTGTCATAATAATACCGCATTATTTCAAACAATTATTGATAGCGTTTTGAACGATGAGTTTAATCAAATATAAAAAATATATTTTTAAATGCATTACCTATCGATAAACCTCCGCAATCGCTGTCAGTCAAAACGTAGTCACAAAGGAAACTCGGTGGTTATTGTCGCTTTGACGTGCTAAATGTCAGTATATCATTTTTGTTTAAAAATACAAAAATTCAAATAATCATTTTATACTGTCAAAAATGAATTGATGTTTTTAAAAATGTGCCAAATATTCGAGTGAGCACTCGTCTCTCGACGACTGAATAATAAATGAAAGTCGAACTCGATTAGTCAAAATGTTTACACGAAAACCGTTTTAGTTTACCTAATTGAATTTCGCCGAGGCATAGTCCCACTTGTTGACACTATTATCATACGTTTCCCGAAAATTAAAGACCATGTTAGATTACTCGATAAATAAATAATTAAAAACACGGTATGGCAATGGCTCTGTGCAGTTAAATTAAATCCAACATAGGTACGCTCGACTTTGATAATTAAAACACGTGCTACATCTCTCGGGCCTTGTATTTAATAGTTTCCGCCGTAAAAGGAAATTTACAAGTCCCTGTTACTAGGCGACTCGCGTTTATTAGCCACTGGAGTTTATATTATTATAGTATAGCTTGGCAAAGTACAGAAAATGGGTACATCGCATTATAACGAAATTTCTAGTAGTAGCTAACGGAATTTTGGCCATATAAACGCTTATTAGCTAGCAATTTAAATGTATACGTGTGCCAACCTTTCTCTTTCCAACCTTTCCGAATCCTCCCCCATATCTCTTTGAACGTTCGCATCCTATGTCGTTACCTATTTTGTTTTTGTCTTCTGAACGGTCGCAAAGCTGTGTTACGTGAATATCGGTGGTATAATTACTTTTATCTGTGTACCTACTACACTCCGGTATACCGAGGGCGCCTCACGAGCCTTTGACAAAGCTTCAACGTCCTCAATGCAATTACTCGTAATTTAATTTTACACTGCGGGTTTATTTACAGTACCGACGAGAAAAAACACTGGAAAGTTTGTCATGTAGCTGATGATAAATAAGCTTAGGTATATACAGTGTATTTTATAGGTATCGTTGACCTTTTCTTGAAACGGAATCGTTTTTGCTAAAAGTACGACAGAAAGTAATTTCCAAACGACAGTAGCTGTCGTTAAATTTATTACTAAACCAAACATGATTATTATTATTTCTATTTCGAGGCAACGTTTACCGACTACTAAAAGTGACATTATTGACTATCAATTTAGGCGGAGGGATACTTGACACTACTATTTTATCAGATCTAACCAAATGCGTGGAAGATAAATTGTGTTAACGCCTTCAAGGGTAAACAAAGCACGAAATATAATGTATCGATTTTATTTCTCGGGAGATCATAAACCCTTCACATTTGTCAAACGGTATAAAAACATGAAGTCTGTCGAGGATCAAACAAACAAACGATGTCACATTGAATTATTTTTATACACAAAACATAAATATTTGAATGGTTTTTCTATGAAAAAAATATTTTATGAATCAAAAAGAAGAAAAATCTTGCATCTTACTTTTGGCTTTATCAGAAAACTAATACCAATTTATGAACTGTTATAGTAAATGCAATGCTTAATTGGATATTTACAATACAAAAGTTTTTTTTTTATTCTCCTTACAAGTTTTGATTTGTGGAAGTAATTCACAAGCCTTTAGAAATAAATGTTTCAGTAAAAAATAGTAACTTTAATTATTAGACCGTTAATTTCTTTAAAGTTAAAATTATATTTTTTACTCTCACAGTACATGACAGAAAAACGTGACAAAACTTTCAGAACAAAATCGAGCCAAAAATACATGACATGGCGTTTACTCGAAAACAGGCCAATGTTTTTGAACATGTTTTCATTCAACAAATATCTAATGTTGAGTGTCTTGAATATAATGTATCAATAGTTTTTGTGAAAATACTCCTGTCATATGCACTCTATGTATTATATAAATAATAAAGTAATTTATTTACTGGTGTTATAAACTACTAAAACTTCTAATATACGTGCTTATATTTAATAAAGCTTTCGAAAAATCAATGCATAAACGCATAACACTAGACTATAAACCATAGCAAATAACAAATGCGATAAAGTAAGTGACAAAGAGTCTTCTTTGACAAACAACAGTTAATATTAACTAAAATCTGGTAAGACTTCCGGTTAGTTCTATAACTTTCATAGCGTCGATAAATACAAGAGTTGTCACTCAAGGGATGCATTGAATAATAATTATAACTTGTGTGCGAGTAATGACTAAAATTGAATGAGCCCTAAGCTGCGCAATCGAGTTGTCCCGTTCGTTATATTATAATTACCGTGTATGCCTTGTGAGACTGCTCCCGCGGTATTGTATTTGTTTAGCCGCACTTGTGGTAATAACAATAATTTGAAATTGTTTTGTAATTACTCAAAGACGAGTGCACGGAAAAAGAATAGAGCCGTACGGCGTTTCATACTCGACGAACGGGTAATGTGAAAACTTTTCAAATTAACCCGCAGGGGAACCAGATACGTTTATTAAGCGCAGTGCATATCATCGCACGTCATTTGTCACGAACATAAACTAACACGTGATATAATACACACTTAGGTGGCGCGTCATCTGTCGACCGACGGTTGTTTGTTTTTAAGCAAAAATCGATTAGCCATCCATCTCTTTTTGCGCGCGGACGTACGACAGTCGGTTGCAAATGTAACATGATACGGACTGAATCGTAGCAGAGAACAAGCGGTAAAGCCTAACATCCATCAATTAGTCGTGTCCGGACTCCAGTAAAATCCCGTGTATTATCATCATGCTTACACATCACGAGGGATACGCCGGCAGTTTTAACGAATCAACTACAGCCTCTACAGATCGGTCTTACTTTGTCAAAATTGAAAAACTGCTAACGCAGAGCATCCCACGACGGTATTTGTACGGCAAATCTTACTAAAGTACAAGTATATAATACTATCGTGATACCAGTCTAATTAAATTCAACCAGATCAAAACGATTTATAGTCACGATCCAATTAGACTATATAAGAGCTTAAGCATTACACATTTAGTTTACTCTATAACCCTTAATCTATGAACGTATAAAATGAAAAGTAATTCAGTCACGCTGATACTTTAAACCGATTTTACAGGTAAAATATTGGAAAGTCGATGAAATCTTGATATATATAAAATATGATCAGTAGATGTTCAGTAGAAATGTGGTAAAACATTCACAACTATAGTCATTTAAAGTCGAGCATATATTTTTACAATTTCGCAATTACGTGTATGACGATGAGCAAGTTATGTTTCTTGTTTTTAAAAATATATTAACATTAACGTTTTAAAATTTACAGCATATCATTAAACACTTAGTAACGATAAAAAATGAGGTATAGTACATTTTATGTTGTAGCTTAAGTACTGCATGAGGATTAAAATATAAAGCATCTATTTACATTTACAATTTATGACCTAAAAAATCATAAAATTTTATGTTTATTAATTTGCAACGACACTTTTAAAGTGACAAAAAAATAATCAAACAACATGTTTCATACATGATCATCCATTTTATGCTAAAAATGAATCATTAAAAGCTATTATTACTGACATGTTTTTAGTTATTTCGAATAATTTTACATTAACTTGTGAGGAATTCACTTTCCAACTTGTTACTAATACCCATAAACTAAAATGTACTCGGCATTGTTAAATCATTATTTTGCGTCAACAGCGTTTAGATCTAAACTTAATTTTTGATATATTTATTTTAAAGCTCAATTAAACTAAATTAGTTAGCAATAAAGTATCCTAATCAATTTTATATGAATTCTAATGCAATGTAACAGTATCATTCTAAAAATAAGTAAATAAAGTAAATGAACACATTAATCCTTCTAATAAAATATGTTGCGTATTCTATGGACACTGAAGAATTGGCAAAGTACCTTTTTTATGAGACTATCATAAAACGAGCAAGCCTATTTTACTATAATATTATATACACCATAGTGAAGTCTCAACCGCAGTCGGAAGTGAGCACGATCGCACGTAGATCGCCACAGTACACCATTGATAATTTGACATTTGCATGCATTGAGGTTGTAAACGCTGAGTGGCGATAACCATAACTTATAGATATTCAAAGTGGGCTGTATTCGAGGGTTGATATTGTTGTGCGCGTTATCCGTACACTTCATTATCGTTAAGGCAAAGCCCTCTGCATAACGTGTTGTGTCTTAGTCTTTTGCTTCTACCAATTGGTCGTCCCGTCTTGGCGTCGTGTACCGACAAATACCGAGTTACGGTAACATGTATTAAAGCGGGGAAGATATCATAGGGAAATGGCAACCACGCCTTACTGAGACAAGGCAAAAAAGCATCATCCTGTATCGGTGAGGATAGAATAAGGGATGCACGAAAAAAAAATGATCATTTTGGATTTCAACGATATTTCAACAGACCTGCGGAGGCTAAGAGGAAGACGTTGTTTTATTAGGCACTTGGCGAAACCCCCTCATCTCATTTGCATCAGAAACTCCCTCTCGCCTGCAGAAACAAAGCGGCACTAAACTTTTATGGCTCCTAAGACAACGGCGACGGCGGAGGGGTCGCAAGTTACCCACTTGAGTATTAACGTTTGCACCTGTTTTTTGTGCATTAAGCAAGCACGTACAGAGACGTTGTTTTTCTTATTACTATTATTTTTTTTTTATGCATGCATATACAGTTTATTCTCCTGACATAATCTCTTTAGCCAAGCAAAGTTTTTGACTAGTAAAGATCATTCAGCATTCTTAAAGTGTATACCTTCGGCTATTTCAGATTTGAGACAAGACTTTCGCGTACAACCTAAAGACGCAAATCCGGCATCCGGGGACACAGTCGTTTTGGAATGCGAATCTCCCAAAGGTCATCCCGAACCGTCCGTTACTTGGCATAAGAACGGAGAGCCTATGCCAGAAGACGATAAAAACAGGTATGTTCTAGTCTTGGGAATTTTTTTTATAAACATAATAAATGTAATTAATAATTATGTTTTATTTAGATGGATAGTCGAAGGAAATGGTAATTTGATTATACGAGACGTCAGATCAGAAGACGACGGATCTTATACTTGCGTTGCCAGTAATGCGGCCGGAATTCGAAAGTCTAAACCAGTCTTATTAGCTGCTCAAAGTTAGTAAACAAATTCTGTTGAAATCTAAGTTGAAATTTACTATATAAAATATAAATGTAACTTCTTATTTGGTATCTAGTGCGACCGTATGTGATTCAAGCACCCAAAGATACAATTGCCATGGCTGGTTCTAGTGTACAACTACAATGCAAAATAGGAGGACAGCCTCAGCCTGAAATCTTGTGGAAGAAAATTTCTGCCAATGGAGTAACACAGCACATACGCCCAAATCATTTTAGGTAATATTACAATGATTAAATTTGTAAGAAACTTTATTATAAAAATGTTACATTAGTATTTAATAATAATTGAACATTTCATTATCAAGTAATCTAATATAATATAAATTAATAATTATTCCTACAATTAGAAGGCAGATGAGATAAGAGCGTTATTTTGATATAATAATCTTCATATTCATATCTTCTCAAGTCTTCATAATAATTGCAGGCATTTTTACTTTTCTCTTAATATTTGTACAATAAGAAAATGAAACGACATCGATAAATAAAATATTTTTGTTACATGCAATATTCTTAAAAAAACGATTTATATCCATTGTGTTTTGATTGCATTCAGTTATACTTTAATATTAACATTTCCAAAATACCATACCGGTCTATGATGTTTGTTTAATATATTGCATAACCGATAAAAATGATGGATGTTTCGGTTTTAGGAACGAAAAGCTTTCTGGAGACAGGGATACATTCGAGCACGTTTACATAACGCAAGACGGCAGTTTGAGATTAGACAACGTGAGTCCGGAAGATGAAGGCAAGTACGTGTGCCATGCAGAAAACCATCAGGGAAAAGTAAATGCCGCATCCACGCTGACTGTTCATTGTAAGTAGAAAGATGTATTTTGATATTATATTAAAAATCGTTTAAAGCTAAAATTAAAAACAGTGATTTCATTTTAAAAAAATGTTATTTTAAATTTTAAAAAAGCGGCAATATTTGTTTATTTTTCAATTTGTGTAATAAAATGAACGGTTGACGCAACATATTATGTCTAGTTGTATACTTATTCACATTTAGCACTTAACTTTGAAAAATCTGTATACTACCTAAATAACAAAACTAAATTTGTAATTAACTATATAAAATATGTAAACGACTTTTTCTTTTGTAACCCACGTGACGACTGAAAGTTTCAAAGAAATAGTTGAGTTAAATTCGATGGTTAATGTTCTGTACAACCGAGACACTAAATGTCACGCGTTAAACTACTCTTTCCGTCACGGACGTTTTAGATGACATTTGGTATTAACAAAAAATTTGTAATAAAAGTTCTTTCGATTGCAAAGACAAAATACAATACTGTGCGTGTCAATCAATGTGATTAAAGTCTAATTATTTTACATTTAAAGAGTTATATCGAGGTATAACAAAAATTAAACACTCATAGTTTTAACATTTTTTTGAACTAAAAAAGATAACAATTTTAAAATAACTACACGTATAAGTCAATCTAACAGTATCAGACTAACCTAAATCTGGTTATTGTAGTGAAAAACTCATGCTAACTAATTGAACTGTTGAAAAGCCCTGATAATATATTTAAGTTTAAATATAAACATTTTTTATGATAAATAAAAACTTTTAGGAGCCTTAGATTATATTTTACATATGCAACACATGTATGTGTTAGTTATTTAAACACTTTCCTATTTCTTCGCCTCAATAGTACGTGCTATTTTTATGAAGATTTAAGCCCTTAATTATTTTACTTGGCCGAAATTTCAATGTTTTTTATACAGAAGCATATTCTGTACCACCTTAGTTTCAACTGTTCTCGACAAGACAACAATGTGTACAATATACATACATAAAATAGGACTCGAGGATGCTTTTTAAACCACACCTTCCTCGTGTATTGATGATGAAAACTTGTGCGCAAAGCGATATAAACAATTCGGCAACTTCTATTCTTAGCTTCCCTTGCTAACCACCCAACTTTACATATTCTCCCCTTTATCTCTGTGGCTTTTGTTTTGTCCCGTGTCTCTTACATTAATCAAATGACTTTACTATTACTAATCTTAGATGGCCTATTGTTGCTAAACATGTATACTGTGTTGGTCGATGTCATCATGAAATCTTCACTGACATTTCTTGATCTTCCCATTGGTGCATTAATAAACTTCATATCCACTGACAGACTATTGTTGAGCTGTTAACGCGGATTTAATCCGTTGACGTCATAAATTAATTTCATGATTTTAAGTGAAGATAAAACAGAAAACAAACAAACTATTTGATTTGTTTTCTTCTATAACTATTACATCACAATAATTTATTCGCTCTGATTCATTTTCATTGGAAAAATTTAAATAAAGACTGCATTAGTAAATGGCTTTTTAATTTATTAATAGAAATTATAAATATTTGAATACTAATTAATTCCTTCAAGTTTTTTTAGCTTCAAAGTCTAGGTATTTTAGTTTTAAATTTATTTTTCTTGAACTATTTTAATTATTTTTAAATATGTTCATTATATGTGAATTTCACATAAATTGAAAGCACTCGTCGGACAATAATGTTGTATTAAAAAGTTGTTTAAGTGTCGAGACGTATAATAAAATTAAAAATAAATAAAAACTTGAAAAAACTTAAATAATAATTAATTTAAATGTGAAAATAACTGAATTTTAATAACTTAATATTTCTATTACAGCTGTACCATTCATTGCACAACGACCAGCAGATACGCATGTATCGGCAGGTAGCAACGCTATATTTGAATGTGGTATTAGAGGTAATCCCAAGCCAACATTGTTTTGGTCTCTACAAGATAATGATTCAGTTATATTCCCTAATGAAAGCTGGAACGAATTCCACGCAGAAGTCACAAAGGACTCTGTGTCAACCCTTATTATTCATGTAAGTGGAAGAAGTTAGTGATTGACATATGCTAAGCAGTAAATAACTTTTCGTTTTCTAGAATGTAAACAAAGAACATCATAATCATTTGGTTGTTATGTGTTCGGCTATAAATGAAGCTGGATCAGACGAATGGCGAGCTACTTTAACAGTGACCACAGCTTCTCATGAAGATACTTTACCTCCTATTATAGAATATGGTCCAGCTAATCAAACATTACCATACAATTCAATCGGAAACTTAGTATGCAAATCAATTGGCAATCCACAGCCAGTAATAACGTGGTACAAAGATGACTCACCTCTATCTCCAGAAACGCCTAGAATTAATATTACAGAAACTGGTACTTTACAAATTATGAGTAAGTTCAAAATTGATTATTATCTATAGTTTTGTAATCATCAATTAAATATAATTAAGTAAATTGATACATAAAAGTTAATAATACTTGTTAATTTAGATTTACAGAAGAGTGATAACGGAATTTACACATGTGTTGCTTCTTCTATGAATGGTAAAGCTTCTTGGAGTGCTGAATTAAAAATGGAATCGCCAAAAAATCCGAACGTCGGTTTCTTCAGATCTCCAGATCCATCGACATTTCCTGGAGCTCCTAGTTCACTAACTGTCATCAACCACACTGATACAACAGTAACATTATCATGGAGTCGTAACGGAAAAGTTGGATCGTCTCCATTGCTTGGATATCAGGTATACACTCACTATGATACAATAGTTAGATTTATGAATTTTGGAACAATTTTAAACATAATTTATTGATAACAGGTGGAAATGTTTACATATGGTGAAAACGTCGGCTGGGTCACATTAACTCGCAGGCTATTATCAACACATTTTACTCAACATTTTTTAAAACCTGGCCAATCATATTTATTTTTAATTCGCGCTGAAAATTCCCACGGTCTTTCTCCTCCTAGTCATCTTTCAAATCGCGTTACACTGCCAACTGAATATCGCCATAATGAATACTACACACATGATATGTCTATTGCGAAATCAACGTTATATGGTGGTCACATAGTAGATCTCATAGATATCAAAACCGTAAATTCGACATCTATCAAACTTTTTTGGGAGGTATATTACCTTTTAAGATATTCAATTTTATTAAAATATATTACCTATATATTTCAATTTTAGGTACTTAATGGAGAATTTTTAGAAGGTTTCTATTTATACTATCGCGGTAAAAATTCGATCGGACACGAATCTACTCTGATGAAAATATTATCAAATACAACTGAACTCTCTGGTGCTTATGTAATAAATCAATTACACCCTTCGGTAACTTACATATTTTTTTTGGTACCATTCTACAAACATATCAAAGGACGACCATCAAACTCCAGAATTGCTAAAACACTAGAAGACTGTAAGCATTATTTATTAACAAAAATAAAATTAAGTCAAAACTCAAATATATATATTTATATACATTAATGTATTTTTCAGACCCTTCACTACCACCTCAACGAGTCGTATCAACAGTATACAATTCTAGCTCAGTATACCTGAAATGGGATCCTCCCCCAGATGACTCACATAATGGAATCATCACTAATTACCAAATAATCATTCAAGGAGGTATTAATTGGGACGTGTTAAGTAACGTAACAGTCAGTGCTAATACACCTACACTTTTGTTGACAAATCTTACATCTGGGGTAAGATACAAAGTAATGATTTCTGCTGCTACTAAAATTGGATTTGGTCCTTACACTGACCCTATACCATTACCAACAGATATAATAAATAAAATAAGGTTAGTAAAACTTTATTGATTAAATATAAACAAAAATTTTAATTATAACCTTGTTTTTTGTTTTTCTAAATATAGTAATTTCAACGATGTTATTAATGATCATGAAGAAATTAAAGAGTTCGTAGCCGAGCCTTGGTTTATTGTGTTAATGGCAGGTGTTATTACTCTAATGATTTTATTATTTGCGGCTATACTATATGTAAGATATCGTCAATTAGATGCAAAAAAGGCACATTTAGGAGGTAAATGTTACAATTTTACTTTAAAATGCTAATGAGCCAGTGGCGTATTTAGAAATTTTGTATAAGGGATCTCAAATGGCTTTTATAACAAAGAATAGTGAGGAGATTCATCCCTCCACTACGCCGCTACTGTGATTTTAAGTCCGTGGGGAGGTTCGGACCCCCACCGTGGGGGGTAAAAAAATACGCTACTATAATTAGCTATTTCTACAAGTATTACATCATGTTTATAATTATTAGATTCATTAAATCCAGTCAATAAGTTATCATATTCATCCAGTTTCAAAACAACATTAGATGCAGCACATCGTGGACAAGTGTCAGCATTTTTACAATCCGAACATAGCGTATCAAACAGCCAGAGATGTCTTTTTATAGACTCTAATTCATACCATAAGCATAACTGGTAAATGACCAAAATATTTTAAAAAAATTTGAAGATAGATTTTAATTAAATGTATTTTATATAAGGACTCATCATGATATTGAAAACAACGAAAAAGATTCAATTCAGAAATTATTACCGGAAATCGCAGACTATGCAGAAGTTAATCCAAATACAATGAGTACATTTGTAAAAGATAGAGATTTATCATCTCCAGCACCCTATGCCACTACAACATTAGTATCAAATTCAAATTCTAGAAATGTAAAAATCTACTTTGTTTTCTATATGAATGATAATAATTTTTTAATAAATAATTGATAATTTGAATTGTTAGCTCCAAATCAGGAGGAATTCTGATGACGCCGCTTATGCATCCGCAAATATTTATCGAGGTCAACACGTTTACTCAGAAAGCGCATATAGTTGTTGTTCTAGTAATAATGATTGCCAAAATTGCTCAGGTAATTTAAGTAACACATAAAAATTGATTGTAAAAAAATGTTGAGTAGTACCATAATTTTCTAATAGTTAAAAATAAATTCTAAAAAAATTAAACACTGAAAGGGAATTACCCTAATATATGAACGTAGGTAATTTTATTACTCTAATATAGTAATGGAAAAACAATTTATATTGTTCATATTATGATCAATATAATAATATCACTAGAATTTACAATTTTTAAAAACTGTGAACTTTACATAAATTAAAAATAAAAATCTAGAGTATATACATTTTAATAATAAAATTAAAGTCATAATATAGTACAAATTTACTAACCTTATAAAAAATATTCATTCACAAAAACTGAAATTTTGTAACAACTAGAAAAACTGTTTTTGAAGTAGTTGTTCAACTGTTACCGACTATTACTGTAGGTAATTTCTTAAAAATATATTTTTATTTCCAATGCACATATTAAGGTACTTTTTTCTATAATATTATTAAAAAATCTATAAAATCTAGTTCCTAACAGTTGAAAATTCAGTTACCAAGACATTACTGAGATATAAAGATTCATTTCTTATTTAACTCATCTATTGCTGTTATACACTAATTGTATATTATGTGTATGTTTTAGCACTGATAATGATAACATTGTTCCCGAAATACATATATATGTATATTTTAAATTATATATTTTAGATATTTTGTAGTTTTAAATAAATATTTTAAATGCATTTTTAATTTTAAATAATATTAACCACGAGTGATAAATTATCAATTATATATACCACATAAACTCAATTTAAATAACATGAGTTGCTTTCATATTTACATTCTATTCACTAAGCTTTAAGTCTCGTGTAAACTAAAATGAGAGTTAAAATCCATATTGAAAATAACGTTTGTAAAAAATTTGTATTTCACAAATATTATTAAGCTCTTTTATGAAATTTCAACTGATCATTCTATTAAAATAATTTTCACATTTTAAAAACTTGGCAATTAGGTTATTGCAATATTACTTATTGAACGATAAATTTATAGACGATTGTGGAAACATGCACGGTGTTCCCGTATCAGTCATACTAAGTGGTTGTGGTCGAAAAACGTTTAATGAAGTCGCCCACCAAAAAATGAGTGGTTCGCAAAGATTCAACAACTACCCTCAGTACTCTTCACGACAGCGAGCAATGGTTAGTATATTAATTACATTTGTGTTACTCAGGTACGCTTAAAGAAGCAATTTTAATTTATATATTGCTCTTAGGTACGCACGACATGCTCATCAAACGGTTACCATTACGTCGAGCCATCCACTATGCCTAATTTTACAACTAACTACAACAGCGATTGCAATATGCCGCCAGATTTAGTCACTCAAAACAGTTTGCAACGGTCGCAAAATGACATTGCAGATTCTAATATGATATTGTAAAATTTTAAATAGTGTCTATATCTTTTATTGTTAAATTTAATAGACTGAACCTCTACGAATTAGAAGACTGGACAATATAACAGCGTTTCACTACAATGGAAAACGTTGGTACGAACAAACCGTTTTTTGTTAGGTCAATTGATGACCATTTTAAAGACTTCCAGTCCTTAGATGTAGTTAAAAAAAGTCTCTATTAAGGGTTCATTATCCGACCTCTACTAGTTGCAACAGTAATGAGCGTCGAGTATGAATAAGAATGCTTTAGTCGTTTTTGTACAAGATGAAAATGTTTATTGAAACCAAAATTGTTCTAAAACATCTTTCCAGCACCTATTTTAATACGTAAAATACTCGAAAATATGTGTTCAAGTTATTGGCCGTTTTTTACTTATAAAATCTATGTATATAACCATATACTAAATTGTAATTTACAATGTAAAGTGCCAATGTAAATTTTTGTATTCTATAAATTTTTATTAAACTCATCATTTATTGTTTAATATATTGTTTTCATTTATCATTCATTTACACTCCCAACATGATTTCATTTGGTTCCATAGCACCAATACATTCAATTGTAACTAAAAAAATGTATAAAACAAAACTAGGATTTAAAGCTATTTTTGCTCATAAACTAAATTGCTCAAGTTAGATTTAGTAACACACAATTTATTACCCGGGGCGATTCTATATAGGGTGTTCAGTAAGAAAACGGATTTTAATTGTTCTCATTGTTTGTAACAACTGACCTATTTCTTTACATACTAAATACTCTATATATGATTTTTATGAGGATGTGGAGTAAATTTTGTTAACTAAATTACCATAAAGAGTAAAAATTCCATAATATGTAACATAAATCTAAATAACAAGTAAATGCTGATCAGTACTCAATCAACCCAAGATCCCATAACAGTAGCATAACCAGGATACCCCTACCACCCCCTTATTGATAACACTATTCATTTTTAAAATAAAATGATAAACAAAAAAAATTCAAAATTTGAAACTTTGTAGATTTTTTAATATGCCCATCCTATTATGAAATTATAGCTATGCCACTGGAAAAAAAATAAATTAAAATATGAAAAAAAAAACTACTATAAAATGGTTAATCATTACTGTAATTTTTTTTATATATTTAAAAATACTTCAGTAATAAGAATGTACTCAAAAATCATACAAATTTCAGTACACAGTCAGAAATATGTATAATATTTCTTACTCTAGTTTAAAGTAAGAACTGGAGCTGTATTTTTATGGAACTAATATCCTAAAATATTCTTGATCTTAAAAATATGAAATTATCATAATAATATAACTAGAATAAATAAACAAAAAAATTACATTATATAATTCAATTGAAATATTTATATATTAAACATTTATCTTTAAGTTTGTTTCATACATAGTCAAAACAGAATAAGTAAAAAATAACATTATATTTCACTTTGATTTAATGCAGATTCAAGGGCATTGTTTAGTTTCTGAATAATAATATTAATTGCTTCCAACATGATTTCATTTGGTTCCATAGCACCAATTGATTCAATTGTAACTAAAAAAATGTATAAAACATAAGTAGGATTTAAATCTATTTTTTTATGCCACTTAAAAAATTCATTAACTATATAATAGAGACTACTAAGTTGTCTTTAATTATCTTTACAAACTGATAAATAAATACATATAAAACCTTTAATTAATTTTTAACCATAATATTGAAATCCACCATAAATATTCTATTATATAGAAAATTTCAACTCAAGTTTGTAACCAAAAATTAAAATTTTTTTTAAATACAATTAATTTTAACTATCAAATAATACCACGTGACATGAAAATTAGTTTTTTTTTTAATAATGTAAATTTGGAAAACCCAATAACTGAATGTAGTATACACAAAAAATAGATACACAAAAAAGCCAAATATTTTTCAATATATTATATTAAAAATTGTCTAGCACTGATTCATCAAAAGCAATAAACTTCTCATAAATAGATGAAAACCAAGAGCTAAATAAGTTAACAAGTTCTAAAGGGTTATTTGAAATTTTACCTAAATGGTGAACAGAAGCCAGGATATCAGTATTATTATAACATTATTAATAATAAATTCTAAAAATATTTTGGATTACTGATTAGTGATTTTTGGGTAAATATTAGGTGTTCAAAATAACATTTTTTTATTAATAATTAACATTATTTTCGAGTATTAGAAAAAATTATATGGGAATAAGTTTTAGAAGCTTTGTATATTTTACGAGTGGCATGTTTTTCTTTAAAGATTTTTCAAGTTCAACTGAAAACCAGTTAGGATTCTTTTGCATATTACTAAAATTGATTAAATGAAGAAAAAGTAATAATAAACACATCATGGTAAAATTAATATATTTTCACCTTTGCATTGAAGCTAAGATAAAGTTAACACCCTTATAAGTTATAAGAGTTAATGCTAAAATGATATTACTAGCAAAACTCAAGAAAGATATATAACTATAATTAAAGATTTTTTGACAATATGTATTAATTAAAATAATTTATTAATATGGTTATTTTGAGTAGGTTATGATAACTATAAGTTTTCTAAAAAAATTTACCTCTAATTTAATTTAAATTTTATTACTTTTTTAAATATTTTATAATAACCGAATATAGAATAATTTCCGAATATTCTACCCATCATTATTTTTTCTATCAATATCTTCTATAGGCAAATATGCTTAAAATATGTTTAATAATTATTTACTAAATATTCATTGAACTATTGTAAAAATAAAAATGAATAGAGAACCTTTTAGTTAGTAATTCTAAACAATTATAGCAAACATTATATTTAAATATTGTTAAACTTACAAATATAATGATTTTGATCTTTGGACAATAATACTTTATCTTCAAAAATTTTATACCTAAAAACATTTCTGGAACTATTGTCTTTTCTATTATCTGCTACATATGCAATGGGTACACCTAAAAATAAAACAATTTAATTTTTTCAAAATAAGCACATAGCTTCATTAATTTAATATGCAAAACTATTCTGCTTAACATTTTTTAAATTCAGTTAAAAATTTTTAAACAAATATTTATATATATATACATATATATATTAATGTATTCTGTAATACATATCATAGTGTCTAAAAATAATGATCAATTTTACATTCTTTTATGTCCTTAACTGAACATTGTACAGAGGGTGGTGACATGTTAGAGGGAATCAAAGATGGTTCTTAGCTAGGCCAATTATGAACAGAATAGATATTATGGCCAGCTTGCACTAGACAAGACACCACCAATGAGAGAATCACAAGAAAAATCTTGTTTGCACCCTGGGGTATAACCCGAAACACTTGTGCCAGAACATACATTTTAACCTACTAGGTTAGGCTACTCCTATTAGTTCTTAGTATCTAAAATTTATTAATTATAAAGTAAAAAATATTAACTAAGCATTATTATTTATCTAGGATGTAATATATAAAATCTAAGGGAAATAATATCAATGATTTATATAATTATCAATATTTAATTACATACCTTTAACATTTTTTAAGCCAATAACACCTTTTGAAAAACATGATTGAAATAATATTGCATCATCACCTTTGATTTCATGCAATAACTTAATCTGTGGCATTAATCTATACCAAGCAGTACCTAAAAACACATGTTATAATAAAAATTGATATTTTTAACACACTTGGTTACAAATAAAGATCAGACTTTTTTTTTAAATAGTCAAAGAATAATGCTGTTATTTGATTAAAAATTAGAAAATAATGTTTTTATATTCTTTAAAAAATAATATATCGAAATAATATGATTTTTTTTCTAATTATAAGCTCTCATTATATAATTGTTATAAATATGACTTGGAAATCTATAAAATTATAAAATTTGATTAGATCCCTTTAAAATACGCAGTTTTGTTAAAATTTATCATAGAATGATTCTTTTGTTATAAACAACTTTTAGCTTCGCTGCGAAGCTGAGAAAGTATTAATTTTACTATAATGTGCTTTTTTTTTTTTTTTGTGTCTGTTACCACTTTTTCTCAGATCTCACCGAACCAATTTCTTTCAATGAATTACAAATTTAAAAATCGTTAATTTTTTCAATTTTTTTACTTAAAACTGCCATAAATTTTTCAAAAATGAACAAATCAATATAATTTTTTTTTTTTAGATGCTTAATGTCTTTCCTATATTTTTTATAAATTTAACCCTTTACCTGCCCACAAGGGGGGATTTAAAATGACAACTTTTTCACAAAAAATTAACATTTTCAATTTAACTTTTGAAAGTGTTCCGGAAATTAAAGCTAATGTAATATACTTTATTATGGAAAAAAAAATTTCGGACTTTATTTTGTTTTCACGGTGAAAATGGCTACCAAATGCTATTTTTGTGTGAAAATTCTCGATTTTATTTTTAAAATTTTTAACTTTATAATGCTATAACTTATTGAAAAGTGTATGGATCAACAATTTTTTTATGAGAAATAATATTAATATCCCTCTTTCAGTCGACATACTTTATCTTAATCAGGATATTAATAAAGAACTAGCAGATCATGTAACTTTTAGAATAATACACCAATTTTTTGAAATTTTACACTATCTAAAGATTTGCATCGAAGCGTTTTTTTTTTTATAGTGATTTTAATCACTGTTAGATATCATCATACTTGATCCAACTATGCCACATCACCACTGTGCCGCAACCCTCCTGTACTGTGTTTTTTTTAATTGAAAAATAAAAATTATACTGATAATTTTTTATATCCACATACTTTTCTCAATTTAAAATTCAAGAAGTATTTCTTATATTCATCATATATAATTTATAAAGGTGTTAACTAATTTTTTAGCTTCGATGCGAAGCTGAGAAGGTATTGGTTTTACTAAGATGTGTTTTTTTTGTGTCTGTTACCACTTTTTCTCAGCTCTCACCGAACCGATTTCTTTCAATGATACGTCAAACGATCACAAATCGTATCTAGTCGAAGACATTACCCTTAAAAATTGAAAAAAATTCCCTCGTTCCCCGTAAAAGGGGGAAACCTCCAAAAAAATTACAAATTTAAAAATCGCTAATTTTCGAAATTTTTTCAATTTTTTTTACTTAAAAGTGCCATAACTTTTTCAAAAATAAACATATCAATATAATTCTTTTTTATATAGATGCATAATATCATTACCTTTCATTTGGTATATTTTTTTCATAAATTTAACCCTTAACCTGCCCACAAGGGGGGATTTAAAATGACAACTTTTTCACAAAAAATTAATTTTTTTAACTTAAATTTTGAAAATGTTCCGGAAGGTCTGACACTTTTATATATATCTTAAATTAAAGCTAATGTAATATGCTTTATCATGAAAAAAAAAAATTTCGGACTTTATCTTATCTTCATGGTGAAAATGGCTACCGAATGCTATTTTTGTGTGAAAATTTTCGATTTTGTATTTTCCATTTTTAACTTTATTATGCTATAACTTTTTGAAAAATGTATGAATCATTACAATTTTTTTATGAGAAGTAGTATTTATATAGATCTTTCATTCGACATACTGTTTTTTTAAATCGGACCATTTCCCTAAATACAGGGGGGATTCAAAACATAAAAATGCATATAGAAAGTAGAACTTTTTCAACGTAACTTTTGAAAGTGTTCCGGAAGGTCTGACACTTTTATATATATCTTAAATTAAAGCTAATGTAATATACTTTATAATGGTAAAAAAAAATTTCGGACTTTATTTTATCTTCATGGTGAAAACAGACATTAAACTTAATAAAAAAAATACGATTTTTGTAAAAAAATTCTTTTTTATATTTTTAACTTTATAATGCTATAACTTCTCGAAAGATGTATGGATCAATATAATTCTTTTTTTTATAGATGCATGATGTCATTACCTATCATTTGGTATATTTTTTTTATAAATCTGACTTTTTACCTGCACTCAGGGGGGGATTTAAAATGACAACTTTTTCACAAAAAATTAATTTTTTTAACTTAAATTTTGAAAATGTTCCGGAAGGTCTGACACTTTTATATATATCTTAAATTAAAGCTAATGTAATATGCTTTATCATGAAAAAAAAAAATTTCGGACTTTATCTTATCTTCATGGTGAAAATGGCTACCGAATGCTATTTTTGTGTGAAAATTTTCGATTTTGTATTTTCCATTTTTAACTTTATTATGCTATAACTTTTTGAAAAATGTATGAATCATTACAATTTTTTTATGAGAAGTAGTATTTATATAGATCTTTCATTCGACATACTGTTTTTTTAAATCGGACCATTTCCCTAAATACAGGGGGGATTCAAAACATAAAAATGCATATAGAAAGTAGAACTTTTTCAACGTAACTTTTGAAAGTGTTCCGGAAGGTCTGACACTTTTATATATATCTTAAATTAAAGCTAATGTAATATACTTTATAATGGTAAAAAAAAATTTCGGACTTTATTTTATCTTCATGGTGAAAACAGACATTAAACTTAATAAAAAAAATACAATTTTTGTAAAAAAATTCTTTTTTATATTTTTAACTTTATAATGCTATAACTTATTGAAAAGTGTATTGATCAATATAATTTTTTTATGGGAAATTCTATTTTTTAATAATCCTTTTTTCATTCGACATACTTTATTTTAATCAGGATATTAATAAGGAACTAGCAGTTTATGAAGCTTTTGGAATAATCCACCAATTTTTTAAAATTAAACACTATCTAAAGATTTGCATCGAAGCGTTTTTTTTTTTATAGTGATTTTAATCACTATCAGATATCATTATACTTGATCCAACTATGCCACGTCACCACTGTGTCGCGACCCCACTGTGCTGGGTTTTTTTTAATGACAACATACTTAATTAATCAATAATTTATAAGATAATGATCTAATTAAGAAAATAACTGTTCACTAATATCTTTTGGAGTAATATTTCAGAAGTTATTAATATTTTTATAACTAGGCAGGATGAGGAGTGTGGAGGAATAAAATATAGTGATAAAAATAGTAGTCACCTAACCTAATAAAATCTATTAATCTCCAAACTCATTTGAAAGATTCATTTTATTAACCACTTTGTACAAATAACTATTCATTTAATAAACCTATATTAAGAATCATGCAAACTATTAATAAACTAAACATTGATTAATTTATTTTTTCTATGGCAATTAGATTTATGTTATACTTAATAAATATGTTATGTGCAAGTTCTATCCCTATTTTTATTATATTATTTTAAGGTTATAGTATTTGATTAACTACAAACAGCTTATTAATTTTTATAAAATAGGCTCAACTTGTCGGAGTATGAGAACTTAGTCCCCTAACAATTTAGATAACTATATTTATAATTATTTAAAAATATTTTTAAGGTGAAGGGATAAATAATATATCACCTCCAAAAATTCATTCTAGATGTGCCTATAACAAAGCATTTTATTTTTTATGTTATAGATTTCTTTTAATGAAAAACATACAAACACTTTGAAACTTTGCATGATCTTTAGGTATTCCTTTAACTGCAAACATTTTAAGTTCAATTTCTTGTCCAGGTCTTAATTTAGCAATGAGAATATCATCATGTATCATACCAACATTTTCTTCTGTATACATATCTTTTTGATTACCTAATGGTAGCCATTTTATATTTTTTGAGTAGACTAAAAATAAAAAAATTATAATAAAAATAAATAACATAGTCATAATAATATTAAATTACTTATATGTTTTACCAGGAAAACTTATAAACTGTTTATGAATTAAAGCATCCAAATCTTTTTTTGTACATTTAATTTTTAACTCATACACTAGGCTATCTTGTTCATTCGGTTCAGCATTATCTATATAATTTTAGTAAATATTAATTATGTATTATCAAGAATAATTATTTCCTCATACAATAATAGGAAATATTATAAATTATGCGCATGTTTTTATTTTAATAGATTATAATAATGTATGTGAATACACAAGACAAAAATATATTATACATAATATAATATTATATAAAACATAAACATTATCTGTTCCATCATTTTGTTTTGAAAATTTTATATAGAATTAAAATAACCACTTTCCCTTCTTTTAAATTTCTCATGGTAATTGATTACATTCTGAACCACTTTTAAATATTCAAAAAAAAAAAAAAAATGTACATTTTAATTTAAAATAAACATTAAACATAACAATTTTATTATATTTAAATGTTCTTGATGTATTTAACAATTGGACGCAACTTAATTGAGATCTTTTCTTTAGGTATTCATGTTTAAATTATGGAGTGAAAGACAAAATATTTCATGTAGTTGAAATTCTGTAAAATATTTTTTACTAACAATTTAAATCTAGTGTTCATTAAAAATATTAGTAAATAAACAAGTGTCTAAGTGTCTTATATAGTTTTCAATATTTAAAATATATTCAATTAATCTTTTTAGATTATTAATCATAGGTTTTTCTAACATGGCTTATTAAAATTTCCAAAAGAAATAAAAAAATTACTAATTCCCATTTTTCCTCACTAATTGTTTTTGTTATATGATAGCAATTATGTTACTCACAGTTCTAGGATTAAAATAAACTTTTAATTAATTTTTATTCATTATAACTTAATATATTAATAATATGATTTTAGAATCATTAATATATTGTTCCAATAAAAATAAAAAGTAATAAATACATTTTTCATCTAGATAATATTTTTATTCATACAATGACACACATAAATATTCATGTCTTCTTGCCAAAATTAATCAAATGTTTTTTTGCAGTTATGAGAAAAACAGTTTGTGTTTTATGAAAATTTAAGTAATTCAAAATATATTAACTTTATTCTTTTAAGATCACTCAAATTGATTGTTGCAATTTAGTTTAATTTTATATTAAAATTTTAACCAAAGTATATTTTAATCATTATTTAGTAATTTAATATTTTAACCACACGTGTACAAGATTATTATGAGGTAGTTATCCATGTTATCTCACTCAATCATTTTTAATACTCGAGTATTTTTGGCAAGAGGGCAAAGATATAGAACATAATTATAAAGAAATTGTTAAAATAAATTTACCAGCTTTCATCTTAAATTGTCTAGGATCTGCCTTTAATGGAATTAAACCTAATCTATGAGCTAAAATTTCATCAAGTACATATGACGTATTTTGATATATATGTACTTTTTCAATGGCCATGCTGGGAACCTAATTTAATGATTAAAATTATATTTAAATAACATTATTTATTAATGTACAGTACAAGATACATTAAAATAATACTACACTTTATTGATTTAACTATTTTATAGAATATTATTGCTAATTGAAAATCATAAATAATAAGATTTAATCTCTTAATAATATTCTCAAATTAATATTTTTGTAATAATGTAATGGGATAACATCTATTTTAAGTTATTCAGTGGTATTTTGAATGGTATAAACGAGTATTTGATGTATACCAACTAACAATTTGTGTATTAATGTATAATCAACAAATTAATACTTGTGTATTATTTATATTGAAGGGTAAAATAAATCAGGTTGTTCACAAAACAAGGCATACATTGATATAAAAAAAGTTTTCTTTAAGGCTAATTTTAACATATATTATATCACTTTTACTTTATGACAGTTCTTTTATTTAAATATAACCCTTAATTTTTAGTTACTCAAATATATTTATGGTTTAATTATGTTATGCATATTTTCTTTTTTAGTTTATTTTTGTATCTAACTGTTAGAATTTAAAATTACTGAATTGGGGTTGAATTAAAAAATAATAAATTACCACATAAAATATGCAAAATATAGAAACCATTGAAATTTAGAATTTAAAAATATACAAGCATTTAATTATTAATTAGTGATAAATAAACTATGCAAAAACTTAAGTTTTAAGTTGATCAACTGACATTTAAGGTAATTATTTATTTTTACAAAAATTTAAGATCCAAAAACATTTAATAAGTATTTATTTTTAATCTTAAAAAATATTTGGTTTAAATTGGGTTTGAATGAAATTGATATATTAATTTGCTTCAATTTTAAAAGTTAAGATTTCTTCTAGAAGTACTAATTATTTTTTGAAAATCCAAGATTAATAATGAATAAACAATATTTACCTCTGATATAATCACTCGCCTTAAACTATTAGCTAATGCTACATCTATTCCTATTAAATCAAATTCCATATCACGATTATTTTTGCTCACTATATTTATCTTAAAATTCTATAAAAGTTAATAATTACATTAATCAAGAGCTAATTATGATATTAATAAACTCACCTTAACAAAATTTTCATAATTATAAGGTTCAATTTCATGTCCTAAGGTCTAAAATATTATTAATTATTATTATATTAATAATTAAAATTACAATAATTGAAGAATTTTAATTAAACAAAACCTATACCTTTTGATTTTAAAATGACCCAATTAAAGTTTTGATTTATATTTGTTAAATAATTACTAATATTGTTGCTTTATGAACACATAGAAAAAAAATTACAATATAATAAATTTTAAAAAAACTCAGTTTCCGAGTTCCATTTCAAAACAATTGTCTCTAATAAGAAATAAATTTAAACATTTTTCTTGAAATTTGAAGAGCAACTTTTTAATTATTTTCTTACCAAAAAAATGAATGAATTGATAACAATTTTAGAATAAGTACTAATTGAGTTATAGACAAGTAAATACATAGAATAAATATGTAGTAAGAGTGAGTACAACTTCATCATTAGAGATAAATAATAAAAAAATTTTTTTAATATAGTTAAAATCTTTAAAAATTATTTAAAAAAATAGGTAACACAAAATATTTGCTAAATCAAAATTATTAAAGATGTCAAAACCAGGTATATATATTTATATATGAATAAATTTTGTACATTAAACTTTTTATATTTCACTTTAGTACTATGAAAAAATGTAAAAATGATACATTAAGTTGAAGAAAATTTATTTAATACAAAAGATATTTTTTTTATAAAACTAGGCCTAACAATTATTGTTTCTCTTAGCAATTTCATTAAATAGAATTAAGAAAACGTATTATAAAATTTATATGTGTTAAAACTTACTCTTTCAATAGAATATTTATTCATTATAATAGGATTTTCCATTGTTTTTTTAATTTTTATTTAAAATGATCAAAATAATTATAATAATAATTTGAATGTTTTTCAATTTTGGATGTTTTATACATCAGTAACCATGTGCAAATAATTTTATGATAAGTTATCAAATATAAAAGTACTACCAACTTAATACAATGTTAAAAAAATTAGTATTTAATAAATATCTTATGGAGTTAAAAAGCCTCACCAATAATTATTCTTGATATTTTTCTAATAATGATGACAACTTACAATTTCGTTTAAGAAAAATATTGCACTTTAACGTAACCAATAATTATTTAGTAAGGGATGGTGCTTAGAGAATAATTTTAATGTGAAGGTGTTTAGAACTACCTTTATAGAAAATTTTTGAAAAGAAATTTAATTTACTCAGAATTAATAATATTAAATAAATAAAATTAATAGTAAACTATTAATATTGAACCACTACACTATTTGTTAAAGTAAAATTATTACTTTTAAATTGAATTTAACAAAATTGTATTAATTTAGTTTTAAGATAAAACTAAGAAACACCTACAAATATATAACTAAAACTGTTTAGCCAACACACAGAAATTAAAAATTTTTAAGTATATTTTTCAGAATATCAACATACAATTTTAGAGTAAGCAATACAATAAAAAACAAATTATTTTTAATTTCAGCTACAGTTAACATAAATAATTTCAGTTAATACATTAAGCTTCATTACTAAATTAAATTGTAATTACATGCTGCAGTAATAAAAAAGTTATTTATGGAGTGTAAGAAGTACTTCTTCGTTTAGCAGGAGATCTAGATTCACTTTTTCTCCAACCAGGAGATCTACTTCTGGTAGATATTGGGGAGCCACTCCTGCTTTTACTATCAGATCGAGATTTACGATCTATAGACATGCTTCTCCTACTTCTATCAACAGATAAACTTCTTTTTCTATCAACTGAAGTACTCCTTTTGGTTCTAACTGGAGATCTAGACAAAGATCTTACAGGGGATTGTGGACTTCTAGATGGAGGTGTTCTAATAACCCTTCTTGGGGGAGGTGATCTAGAAGATTGTGATCGCCTTTTAGGTGAACGAGTATGTTTACGTCTCTTGTCTGGAGAACGAGATTTGTGGCTTCTACTTCGTTTTCTAGTTCTCCTTTGTGATGAACTAGACTTTCTACTGCGTTTTTTAGGTGAACGGCTTCTACGAGGTGATCTACTAACACGTTTACGAGGAGGTGTTCTTGTTCTAGACCTTTTAGGAGAAAGAGTATGCCTAATATGACTTGAAGAACGACTCTTAGTAGGTTCAGCAGTTTTTCCTCTACCAGAAGAACTACTACGTCTAGGCGATTTACTAGATGAATGGGGACTACGAGAACTGCTTTTTGGAGGAGTAGCAGACCTTGATTTTTCTTTTTCAGGAGTTTTAGATTTATCTCTTTTTTCTATCTCAGATATAATAGTAGGAGTATTATCTTTTTTCTTATCTTTCTCTTTACGTTTTTCTGATTTTTCTTCTTTTCTTTTTGAAGAATACTTTTTATCTTTCCTACGACTTCTTGATCGTGATCGACGTCTGGATTTAGACCTTGATCTGCGTTTATCTCTAGAAGACTTTCGTTTTCTATCTCTAGATCTAGATTTTTTTCTTGATCTTGATCTTTTCCTTTCTCTAGATGGCCTTTCCCTACTTCTATCTCTACTTCTATACCTTTTTCTTGATCTAGAACGGCGTCTTGAACGTGATCTTGATCGTCTCCTTCTTGATCTAGAATGCCCTCTACGTGATCTAGATGATGATCTTCGACGGCTTCTACCATGAGACCTAGATCGAGATCGCCTATGAGAATGACTATGTTTCTTATCTTTAGATAAAATACCAATTACTGGATCAATAGCTGCAGATATTAGACTTTGAGCTTCTTTCACTCTTGTCATGGCTTCTTCTATTTCTCTTTGAGCAGCTTCATTACTCTTAGCCATAGGTTTAGCAATTGCTTGAGTAGCATGTGTAACTTGAACAGGCCGAGAACCAATAGTCATTCCATTTAGTTTTAACCCAGCAATTATACTAGCTTGTTCAGAAAATTCTATAAGAGCATAACGAGTAATATCATTTTCTCTACTGCACCATCTTACATACTTAACATCACCTGCTGATTTTTGAAAAAAATTTATTAATTCATCATCAGTTACATTTTCATCAACATTAATGGCTACCAAAGTTCTTCTTATTTCTTCAATACGTCTAGCATCATATGTAATAGGCAGAGGGGGATATGGTGGCAAACCATTCGATGCCAACACAGGATCATGAGTAACTATAACTTGATTTGGAGGAATGCCTTCTATCTGGTTAACAACATGTGGTGGAAGCTTAGGATCTGATGGATACAAGCCAGGTACAACATTTGCTTGGTTAGCTATATCTAATGCTCTGTACTCATCAGGTATCTCGCCAACAGAAGACTGATAAGGTGTAACAATCAGAGCACGATCAATAAAAACTGTATTAGTTAAATGTTGTGCCACAGCAACACAGAGAGAATCAAAATATTTTACATAACAAATACGAGACTGTACTGGAACTGACACATCTCGAATCTGAGGATACAACCGAATATCTTCAATCTTACCTATTGATCCAAACAGTGTTTGCATTTGATCTTTAGTTGCTTGAGGAGCAATATTAGTTACTTGAATTACTTTTGTAGTTGGTACAGCAATTGTATCTGAACTAGCCGTCATTGTTAATGAATCTATTAGAACTTTAAATATATAATTCTAGAACTCACATAATTTCATAAAAGTATCGACAACTGCCGCACACTCTCACAGTCAAATACAATTATTTTACAATGAACTTATTGTAACGTAAAATCAATCAAACAACGGCTAATAGAAAGATAATACAACAAACCTCAAGGTTTAGAAGTGAAACGCCGCGGCAGCCGCCAACCAAGACCGACCTGATGATGAACGAACAGTGTTAACAAATTCGTAAACATTGATTACCTTGATTCATGTTAAAAAATTTAATTTTAGTGTAAATATATTATAAATAGCAAAGATTTAAGATTATAATATATCGACAAAAAACCACTTATATTTATCTTATAATCAATAATAAACTGATTTCAAAATCATCTAAGAGTTCTATTAAATACTTTATTAATGTAGACTTACTGAAATTCATCCGAAATTTTATTAAATTATGTTGGTCACACTGTCGAATTATGCCGGTGTAGTTATAATATTTCTGTCTGCCTAGTCATTTTATGCAGCCAAACTTTGAAGACCCCGGAATTTTATTTTTTATCTTAGCATCCAATTAGTCAAATAAAACTATTTTTTCTGTAATACATTATTTGAACATTATTAATTTTCTATTTAATTGTGCATGTTTTCTTTTGGTAAGTTTAATTATGTTTTTATTAGTTTAAGTTATTAATCTATTTAAGTGATAAACTCACAATGATATTTTCAAATAGGAGGTAGTATCAATGGCAAAAATTAAGCTACTAGTATACACGGCTGTATTATTATTACATTTAGCTTTAGGAGACGATGTAAGCTAAATTAGTACTTATCTTCATTAATTAACTATCTTACAACTTTTTTTTTGATAATCATAGGATGATGTAACTGTAGAATCAGTGCCTTATGAAAGTCCTACGGCAAGTAAAGATATTTATTTTTCTGAACATTTTGATGATGCTTCAGTTCTTAGCAAGAAGTGGGTGAAATCAAACTCAAAGAAGCCTGATGTTGATGAAGAATTAGCTCAATATGACGGTATAATTAATAATTTTAATTTAATATTAATATTTATATATGTATATAAATATTATATAATATTATTAATAAAAAAATTAGGTATTTTTTTTAGTTTTTTTAAGAGTTTCTTAGAAATGCTTAAATTTTCTTTTTTTTAACATTTATAGATAAACAAACTTGCATTATTAAAGATAAAGTATTTTATATGTCTAATGTTAAATGTATTATGTTTATTTATTAAATATTTATTAATATTGTTTAGTTGTCTATAATTTTTAATAGGCTTATAATTACATTTTTTAACTGTATGTATGTAAATAATTTTGTTTTAAGGTAAATGGAGCATAGAGCAATTAGAAAAATTTCCTTTGAAAGGTGACAAAGGATTAGTTCTATCTTCTGAAAGTCGTCACGCTGCTATATCTTCTAAACTTAATAGACCATTTAAATTTGATCAAACAAAACCTTTTGTTATACAGTATGAAGTTGCTTTTCAAAAACCTCATACTTGTGGTGGAGCATATCTTAAATTATTGACTGAAGGTCCAGCCACAAAAGACTTATCACAATTTAATGACAAAACACCATATTCTATCATGTTTGGACCTGATAAGTGTGGGCCAACTTCCAAAGTACATTTTATAATTAGACACAAAAATCCTAAAAACAATACTATAACTGAAAAGCACTGCCTTAAACTCAAAACTGAAGAAACTATATTTACTGATCATCAACCACATTTATTTACTCTCGTGATTAAACCTGATAATTCATATTCATTTTACCTAAATCAAGAGGTTTATATTGACTATTGATATTTGATAATTTTAAATTTCATTATGAATATTATTTTTAGTTACAATATGAAGGTGACTTATTATCTGATGAAGATTTTGATCCATCAATTAACCCACCTAAAGAAATAGTTGATGTAAATGATGTCAAACCCAAAGATTGGGATGAGAGGGCTAAGATTCCTGATGAAAGTGCTGTTAAACCAGATGACTGGGATGAAAGTGAGCCAGAAAATATTCCTGATGAATCTGCCGTAATACCAAATGATTGGTTAGAAAGTGAACCTACTCATATACCAGATACAGCAGCAGTTAAGCCAACAGATTGGTAATTCATAAACTTTAATATTTCTCCTAAAAGTAAAAAATGCCTTTAAATGTTATTTATCATACCTTAATAAGTATGACACGGATTTTTATGCAACAAATATTGGAAAATATGTGTATAAATATACATGTAAAATATCAAAATTATGAAAAAAAAAAAAAAACAAATTTACTGTATTATAAAAATTAAATATCTTAATTCAAAATTAAAAAATTTAATTAGTTTTAAATAAATATTTTTAATTTTAAATAATATTAGCCCAAAATAATCAATTCTTAGTATAAAAATATCTTAAAATAATCACAAAAGTATAAATTAATTATTTAAAATAATAGTTCACTTTTACTTTCATGTTAGGTAAACTTATTTTATTTTAAGTTTAATATAAAAACAACAACAAAATTAATTTTGAAATTAATACCAACATGAAGTAATAAAAATTTTTTAGATTTTCAAATTGAAATTTTCTGCAGCTATCATAGTACATAAATTTATATTTAGAAATACTTATTTTGTTACAAGATACTATCAGTACATATTTAAAACATTAGATATTTTCAAGTGTAAACTTTCTATATCATTATTATTATTGATAATTTTTTAACTTAAGCATATCCAGAATTTATGATGATTAAAGAAAAATCTGTGTCAATTTCTTCTTCATTTAATTTATTTACAACATTCTGAACTAAATAGACTTTCTCTGTGATTGGTACCAAAATTGTTCAATTATGTAATAGTTTCTACAACTCGCTGAAAATCAGATAAAATGATTGCCTATTCATTTTTAATTAAGTTATCTTAAAATAATTTTTCAGTATTTTAAATTGCATTTGCATCATTTCGATCAAATTCATTGATAACTTCATTGACTTTTTCGACATTTTTACTTTTGTAGAATGCTGTATCAAGTGAAATTTCTCTATGTCAGTATTGAGAAAGCTACATTTTAAAAGTTAATACATTACCAGTTACAAAATGATAATGTAATGAAATTACTTTTATCTTGCTTACACAGATAAGTAACAAATTAAGTTACTTTAAATTATATAAAGTAATGCATCAATCATTTTTTACTTAATATCATTAATCATTTTGAAAAAATATAAGATAAGTGTTGTAAAATATGTTGGCAAAATAAGAGGGTGTAAGGGGTTGTAAATCGACATTTGATTTACAAATGTCTACACATTTAAATTAGAAACAACTTTTTAAGTTGATACATAAAATCGAATTAAACCATTTTTTTAGCTTCAAAAATTATTTAGAATTGAGTCACATAATTTATTTATAGAATTAAAGATAATTTTTACAAAAATATTGTGATTTTAATGAAATTTTGAGGTTTTTATATATATTTTTTTTTATTACTAATTGTAATTATATCAATTTCTAGTGATCCTAAAAACATAAAAATAATATTTTCAAAATCCTTATAAAATTTCCTATAAAAAATGTTTTCATAAAAAAAATATTAATGTACTTTAAAGCAAAAAAAATTTATAGGAAAAATTTATTTGTATTAAAAAATAATTTTTAAACTTTTGGCAATTTATCTCTAAAGGCTTCTAATACTCTGAAGGCCACATCCATATATGTTATGTAAATAATTTTCAACACTTTAAATTAAAAATATGCTAGAGTTTATTTAAGAATATGTGTTTGTATAAAATGCCTTATTTGTAAGTCTTAATAAAAGCAATTATAACAACACTAATTCAATATTCATTCAACATTAATATGGGGTAATTTCAGCCATTAAGCATTTTATAAATACTAATACAGTAGAACCTCATTAATCCGGACTAATAAGGGCTCTAGGTTGTCCGATTTAATGAAAGTCCGGATTAAACAAAATAACCAAAAAACATGTCCGTATTATAGATTTAAGAATATTATATTATACTAAATACTATATATAATATATATATATATATATTGTCGTAACACAGTAAAGAAAAGCAAAAGATAAAAGGTAAACGAGTGAAAGTGTAAATGTGTAACTGTGTGTACGAAGATGAATATGAGGAGGTGGTGCCTGCTGTCTAGGTATTCACGTGCGTGTTGTCGTACAGCAGTCACCGTGCTCGGCTGACACTCCGGGTTAGCTGTGGGTGTCGAAAGGCTGTTGTTATAGGAAGGGAGAATAAGAGTAACACCTAGGTATGAGGTGCAGACGAAGTGCAAGACACAAATACCAGGTGTACGCAAAAGGAGCCCAAAGTATGAGGTGCAGACGAAGTGCAAGACACAAATACTTGGGGTATAGGAGAGGACAATGAAGTACGAGGTGCAGACGAAGTGCAAGACACAAGTACTCCAAAGAGAGAACGGGGTAGCCGAGTATAAGGTGCAGACGAAGTGCAAGACACAAATACTGGGCGTACCAGATAAGGAGTATAACAAAGTACGAGGTGCAGACGAAGTGCAAGACACAAGTACTTTAGTTATTAGGAGAGGATAATGAAGTACGAGGTGCAGACGAAGTGCAAGACACAAGTACTTCAGAGAGAGAACGGGGTAGCCGAGCATAAGTTGCAGACGAAGTGCAAGACACAAATACTAGGCGTACCAGGTGAGGAAAGATAACAGAGTACGAGGTGCAGACGAAGTGCAAGACACAAGTACTCTGNAACATGATATTAGATCCAGCAAAAACATTACATATTTAATGTGGATAGAATTATGTATATATATAATAATGACCAAAATATAAATTACTAATACATAGTTTATGATAACTTTAATGATGGTAGATAAGAATATATGTACTTATGGGAAATTCGAAGAACTTGCCTTTATGTTTATTTTAGTCTACGGCATAAACTGTGTATTTTTCGTAATATTAGACAGCTGTCCGGATTAAGCGAAGTCCGGATTAATGAGGTTCTACTGTATTGAAATTTTATTTAGGTATAATAATATTGTTAAATATTACATGGAATGATTATTTTTTCTTCAATACATGAATAAATGTATATATCATGCCACAGTGCATATACATTTATAATTGGTAAACATACTTGTTAGTGCTAGTCCTTAGATAACGACTTAAAAGTTTATTTTACTTCTCCAAATATAGTAGAATTAAATAAATCTTACTGAAGCAACCTAACTAAGCTATTAAAAAGTCCTTTTTGGAATAATACCATATAATAATAATATAATAAATTGAAGTATTAAAACATTGAATTAACTTTGTAATTTAATTGATTATTTATAATAGGGATAATGATATGGATGGAGAATGGGAACCACCTCTAATAAATAACCCAAAATGTGAAGATCGTTCAGGATGTGGACCTTGGTCTAGACCCCTTATGAAAAATCCGAAATTCAAAGGAAAATGGAAGCAACCTCTTGTTGATAATCCTAATTACCGTGGAAAATGGTCTCCTAGACTTATTTCCAATCCAGATTACTTTAATGATTTAACACCTTTGAAATCTTCGCCGATTGTAACTAAATTTCTCACTAATTTTTATATATATTATATATTATATAATATCTATTATCTATATTATGCTCATTTTAAATTTTAATTTGACATTCCAGAGTGCAGTTGGTTTTGAATTATGGTCCATCTCAAATCAAATATATTTTGATAATATTATTATAACAGATAATGAACTACAAGCTGAAGAATGGGCAAAAAAAACATGGTCACTTAAAAAAAAAAATGTATCACAAGAATCGGTATGATATAAATATATATTAGGGTATAATTATAACTATACATTAGGGTGGATCATTTTAACTTTATTACATACATTAAAATAAGTATTTTGTAAAGATTGTCATTTTTAAAAAAAAGTTTACTGGTCATTCAACATCTTTTTAGTATTTTGATTAAAAATGTTTAGAAAATTTAATACCAAAATCTAAAATAAATAATTAACTTTCTTTGTTTAAAAAATTGATCTCTAAAGAATTAGCGATTGAAATATCAAAGACAGTAATTAATGACTTCAGAAATTTAATTTCTTTTTTATTTTGAACAGCAGTATTTCTTTTTTAACTTATTCAACTTTTTATAGATATGTTTCATTTGTGAAACGATATTACGATTATTAAAGTGTTATGAGGCTGTCCGTTTTTTATCACACCTGATTAATGGTTTGAATACAGTTGTTGACAAAAAGATATTAGTTTTTTGTGCACACTTTGAAAATATTAAAAGAAGGATAAAACATAACTGTTTGATGTGAACAAAGGGCCACTAATGTTTTTTTTTTTTTTTTTTTGTCATAATTGTCTATGAGATTTGGTCTTTGAGTTTTTCATTATACACTAAAATTTATTAAAGTATAAGCTAAAATGTATAATATTCTTGAAAATATTTTTAAATGGTAGTTGATTATTCAATACTGAAAAACCAAATATTGAATAACTTGTGGTCAAAATACTAAAAACATTGAGCGACCAGTAAAAAATTTTAAATCTTTTCAAAATGCCAATTCTAATGTATATAATAAAATTAAATTGGTTCTCATTAAAATTTCGATGATCGACTTTTTTTGATCCACTCTAATATATATGTATAATATACATAATATATAATATATACATTGTCTATATTTCATATTTGTATAAATCTAATTTTAATACATGTTTTCAAAATAAAATAATTTCAATTATTATACAACAGAATTCAAGTTAGGACAGAATTCTTAGAAATTCAAATTACAGGCACAATTTATACGTATTTTACAATCATAATAAAACATTCTTTTGTAATTTTAAATCTTACTCAATTCTTATAATGAAAATCTTATTTAGCAAAACATTTGGATAGACTTAGGTTAGGTCATAATCTTCTGCCTTACCATGCATTTCATCTTTCCTTAAATTCCGTTCCCTTCTGTCCCTACATGATAGTGAAGCTCTATGCGATTTTTCTCATCTTCTCTTTGATTGTCCTGCCCTAGTTAACAGCAGAAATAAATTATTCAGCCTCTTAGCTTCCCACAATATTAATCCCCCTTCCGTAGCTAATACTCTTAATTCCCGTTCTTCCTTTATTAATATTTCAATCATATCTTTCTTGAGGAGTTCCGGCTTTGTCATTTAATCCAGAGTTTCTCAAAGTGTGGTCCGCGGACCCTCAGGGGTCCGCGAACACATATCAGGGTTAGGTCTTTAAAACTGTAGGTCTTTAGATGGGGGTCCGTGATTCATTTGACTTTGAGAACCTCTGATTTAATCTCTCATTATTTTATTTTATATTCTTCTATTTATTTATTTATTTACTTTCTCTCATCCTCCTTTATTTCAAATAAAAATTTTAATTTAGTAATTCTTTTAGTTGTACTTTTAAATTTCTATTAACAATAATTTTAATAATATTTAATTTTCTCTTTATTTTTGAGTATACTAACAATCATTGTCATATTTGTTATACCATAAATTGCACTGTTACTGTTATACTTCTAATTCACTTTTTTTTTTCTCTCTCTTTGTTTATAATTGTTGAGCTAAATATTATTTTAATAAAGGCTATTAAAAAAAAAAAAAAAAACATTTGGGTACTATTTATTTATAAATATAATTTATTACCTGCAGTATACATATTGCAATTTAACCATTTGAAAACTTAAGTATAAGTAATTTTGTTAGGAAAGCGTATTTGGAGCTGTTCTTAGGTATACTAATGAAAATCCATGGTTATGGGCTGTTTATGTCGTAGTAGTTGCTATAACTGTTGTTCTCTTAGTAATTACCTGTTGCTCCTCAACTAAGGTAATTTTTAGATTTTACCTATTATTCTTTAATATCTTATAACTTTAAAAAAAAAAATTATTTTCTTAAAAAGGACAAATCTACATCAGATGAGTCAAGAAAAAAAACTGATGAACCTGTTCCAGATGTTGAAGATCAAATTGATAATTCTGAAGTAGTTGATACAAAAGATAACAAAAGTACTGATGAAGATGAAAATATTGTAAGAAAAAACATATATCTTATTTACTTCAATAATTTAACTATATTATTATTATTAGGATTATGAAGAAACTGAACAAGATAACAAAGATCAAGTACCATCTTCACCTAGAAAACGCAGAACTAGAAAAGACTGAAACTACTTCTTGCTTCTGTTGCCTCTTTGTAGCTTCCTTATTTTTTTTATTTCTTTTAATCGTTAGTCGTTATTATTATACTACCTAAAATAGAGTGAAAAATTACAAGTTTATTTAAATATTGTATACTAGTATGCATAAATCACAATACTTTAAGTTATCATATCTTGAACACATATTTTAGATTTATGAATTAAAAAATTGCTTTAAATTAGGTTTTAACTAATTTTATACAAACCACTTGAACATAAAATATTACAGTATTTCATGAAATATATCTAAATTGATGTGCCTATTTGACATATTTATAGTTTATATATTATTAAATAATATTTCACAAAATATTAAAAATTATATTTGTACGTGTAAAAATATTCTATTATAAAAAAATCTGTATCTTTATAACTTTGTTTTGAATTCTTAGAATTTATAAGAAAATTATAGAAAAAATTGCTAATTAGTATTATTTGTTTGATTTGAGATATTAAATGTATTTCTTGTGGTATATTTTTATTTAAAAATAAATTTTATGAGTATAAATGCATTAAGACTGAATTTTTGTGTTATTACTAAATGTAAGCAATATTGATGGATAAGAGAATATTTTGAAATATCATCATCTACAAAATAAAAAGAGATAATTTTATTTTAAGTTTTATGTTAACATAATTAAAAATTGTATTATTTTTTGCACTCATTTGATAAAAATAACAAAACTATAGTAATATAGTGAGAAAACCACTAGATCCCCTGTAATTTAAGAACCCATTTTTGAGTAATCCAGAATTTTGATTATTTTTTTCATTTTGAACGTAGTATGATTGCTTCTTAAGGGTATAAAAACCTAATTCGCCAAAAAAAAATTCCAACTTGCGAGCACAAAGTTTAGGAGAAAACTAATTTTTATATCCTGTGTCACAGATTTCTTATTGAAAATAATAATATAAACTTTATTGTATAATCTATGAATAAATAACTAAGCTAAGTATGATTTGATTAAAAAGTATTAATCTAATTATAAGAAAAAAATATTTTTAAGTGACTAATCAATTTTATAAATCCACTCTACTTATAAATATATTATTTTATACCAGGATTTGAAGTAATGTAAAAAATTCACATAAGAAAACGTTTTTAATTTTAATTTAAAAATAGAACACTAAAATTATCACATCAAAATTTAGAAAAACTTTACATTTTATATTATATAAAAAACAAATATCAAACAGTATGGTGTGTTATTTTTATAAACAAAAGTATTTAATTATTAAACAACAAATTAAATTGATAAACTATTTAGTATGTTAAATAAAAATAGGGATAATTAGTATCATTTTCTGTTTTACACAAACTAATTCTCTTTTTACAAACGTATCAAGGCCTCATTCGCGTAACCTTTTACCAAAAATTTCAGAATTACAAATTATTTAAATTGATTTCATTTACTTTTCATTGACAAAATCATAAATAGTCCAAATGCCTGAGTCGAGTAAAATAGACTTAAGTAATTATTCGTGAACAAACAAAGCAGAAAAACAAATAACTAAATCTTAATTTTCTTCGCCTTTATTCCAACTATTTATGGTTGGTCGCCCTTATCTTAAACTCCCACATCATCTACGCTCACATCAGTCGTCTTCAGATAGCATTTAATAACATCTTTCCATCTTTTTTTTTGGTCTTTTTCCTTCAACATTCATTTGTATAACTGTTCTTACAGCTTTCAATTCCTCTCACTTTATAACATGATCAAACCATTTAAGTCTATTTTCTCTCATCTTATACACAATTGACGCTACACCTATACTCCCTCTTATATGTTTATTGCTTATCCTATCTTCTCTAGTCACTCCACTCATCCATCTAAGCATTCTCATCTCTGCTCTATTCTCTTATAAACCGCTCAACAATTTGAGTCATGCATCATAGCTAGTCTCACTACAATGTCATAGAACTTACCTTTATTGAAATTTTCTTATGGCATTACACACCAGACGCTTCTCTCCACTACACTTACACCCACTTAATCCTGTGTTTTATATCTTCATCAATAATTCAGTTTTTTTGCACAACTGATCCTAAACACTTAAAACTATCCACTTCTCCAGATCTCATTTTATCTACCTCTTGTTCTCCTTTGTCAAAACTCGTACTCTATATACTTTTTCTTACTCTTACTTATACTTAATCCCTTTCCTTCAATAGCTGATCTCCACACCAATGACTTTTGATTTATATTCCTCCCTTTTTCGCTTCTATGCGAAGCTGAGAAGATATTATTTTAATATGATGTTTTTTCTTTTTTGTATCTGTTACCACTTTTTCTCAACTCTCACCGAACTGATTTCTTTCAATGATACGTCAAAAGATCACAAATCGTATCTAGTCGAGGCATTACCCTCAAGAATTGAAAAAATTTCGTCGTCTCCCGTAAAGGTAGGAAACCTCCAAAAAAATGACAAATTTAAAAATCGCTAATTTTCTAAGTTTTTTCAATTTTTAGCTTCGATACGAAGCTGAGAAGATATTAATTTTACTAAGATGTTTTTTTTTTTTTTGTGTGTGTGTGTCTGTTACCACTTTTTCTCAGCTCTCACCGAACCGATTTCTTTCAATGATACGTCAAAAGATCACAAATCGTATCTAGTCGAAGACATTACACTCAAAAATTGAAAAAAAATCCCTCGTTCCCCGTAAATGGGGAAAACCTCCAAAAAAATGACAAATTTAAAAATCGCTAATTTTCTAAGTTTTTTCAATTTATGTTACTTAAAACTACCATACTTTTTTCAAAAATGACCAAATCAATATAATTTATTTTTTATAGATGCATGATGTCCTTACTTATCATTTGGTATATTTTTTTTGTAAATCTGACCTTTTATCTGCCCACAGGGGCGGATTGAAAATGACAACTTTTTCACAATTTAACTTCAACTTAACTTTTGAATGTATTCCGGAAAGTCTGACACTTATATATATATCTTAAATTAAAGCTTATGTAATATACTTTATTATGAAAAAAAAAAATTAATAAAAAAAATACGATTTTTGTAAAAAAATTCTTTTTTACATTTTAAACTTTATAATACTATAAGTTATTGAAAAGTGTATGGATCAACACATTCATTCGACATACTGTATCTTAATCAGGATATTAATAAGGGAATAGCAAATCATGTAGCTTTTGGAATAATCCACCAATTTTTTTAAATTAAACAATATCTAAAGATTTGCATCGAAGCGTTTTTTTGTTATAGTAATTTTAATCACTGTCAGATATCATTATACTTGATCCAACTATAACACGTCACTGTGCCGCGACCCCCCTGTGTTGGGCTTTTTCTAATTTACACTATAACATCAACAAAAAATAGGCACCTTGGCATATATCTCCTTGTATTTCTTTAGTAATTTAATCCATAACTATAGAAAACAAGGACTTAGAGCAGAACCTTGTTGCACTCCTACTTTTACCCTAAATTCCTGATTGGCAGAAAAAATAAAAGACAAGGATTTAATTTATTATTCTATTAATGAAAGTTCATTAAAACACACTATTTAATTTGTATGATATTTATAAATATATTTCAAATTTTAGGCTAGAAAATGTTAAAACAGAATATTATTTTATACAAATCATTGTAATAATTTTGTTGCATACAGTTATTTATTTTAAAACTATTAACCAAAGAGTGAATGAAATGTAGTTCCAGTATAACCAACTGATGATGTACTTTGATCTAAAAATGTTATATATAATCTAAAAAAATAAATATTTGTTATTTTAATAATATTTAATAAAATACTTTTTTTATAAACAATGATTTAATTATAAAACATACCTATTTCCCAGTATGCCTAATTCTTTTTCCAATAATGGATAAAGTACAGCAGCATGTTTTTTATTTTCTGCAACTCCTAAACAACCGATACTCATAAGAGTGGCTGTTCCACACGGCTCATCAGTTCCACCCCAAGTCATAAGTTGATCTGGTACTACAGTAATAGCTACATACTAAAAATAGACAATATATTAGTTAAAAATACAGACATAAAACAAAAGAGGACCACTTAAGTAAAATACTATTAGAAACTTATTTTAAATGTTATTAACACTTTTATACATAGGTGAGAAGAGAATTGTACTCAAAAAGTTTTTAGTGATAAACAGAACTTAGGACTTAATGCTTTTATAAAATTTGTTTGAACTAATGCTAAGCATGAACTCTGGATCAATCCATCATCTAGATTAACTAGAATCAGGCAATACTTGTAATCTGGATTAAATTATTTAATCCGAATTGAGGTACTAATCTAGATTACATATTCAATCCAGGACAAAATTAATTGTATTATTTTATTAATTTCATATATAACCAATTAAGTTCACGTTATTTTATTGGTATATTTTTAATTAACTTTATCTAATATTAAATAATATTTTCATTGACATTTTTGTAAGTTTCCCTGTGAAAGAAGATAAAAATACTTTCACGGTTCCCCTTCCAGTCATATGAGGTGACTAATAGGGTTACGTCAGGTCAACAGATGGTGAAAATTTTGTCAAAAAGTTTGAGGAGTCCAGAAAAGAACTTAGGCAGATTGTCTCTTCTCGGATATATGTAGAGATAACAGGTGAGTAGTATCCAAAAGTCATTAGAGGATATCTCATGGAATGAGAGACTGGTACATTTAATTAGTGAGAAAGAGATTCTAGAAAGCTGTGACATTAATAAAAAAGAATAAGACAGTAGGACTAAATGAAGTATCAGTAGAAGTATGGAAAATATTAGGCGGTGTTGGCATAAGGTGGTTGATTTTTTTAATAAAATCCTATTAGAAGGGTAAATGCCAAAAGTATGAAAGAATAGTATTGTGGTGCCGATATTTAAAGCAAAGGAGATATACAATAGTAAGTAAATTATAGAGGCATAAAGCTTATGAGTCATAGTATGGAGATTTGGGAAAAAGTAATAGACAAAAAACTAAAAGGAGAAACATCAGTTACAAAATAGCAATATAGTTTTATGCCTGGATAGTGAACGTTGAAGCCAGTTTTTTCTGTATGACAACTAATAGAAAAATATAGAGAAAAGAAGAAAAAGCTGTGTATGGTATTTATAGATTTGGAGAAAGCGTATAATAGAGTATCGAGAGATAAAAATATGTTATTCCCAAATTCCACACCTTTATTTCATTAAAAAAATGAAATATATAAAAATATATTATAAATAAATATATGAAATTATTATTACTGATTCTGGTTTCCCAAGTGTTTGTGCAACAGCTTTAGATATTTTTTTCAACAACTCAGGTGTCACTTTAGATTTTGATACATTAGTTTCCAAACGGAAATGAGGCATGTTTTCAGTAGATTAAAAAAAATTAAATTTTCAAAAAAAAATTGATAGCACCTAGAAAATTGATAGTATGTATCATATTACAACATTTATAAAAACTTAATTAATATCAATAACTCACTTAACATTAAATAACTTAATGATTATTACTACTAGTATTGCTAAATTTGAACTGGATATTTTAACAAAAATAAAAATTGTTTTGTGTTAAAATGAGGTACTATTTTAATCCTTGAACCTAACTTATCATTATCGTATTTATTTTGACCTGACCTCTAGTGGCACAATAAGAATATATGTTTAATGTCAAAATTATAACGTTTTATCAAAATGTTTATGTGGTAAGACAGAAAATGTCACTTTTAAATTCTAAAATTAATAAGAATTACGAAAATTATACTTTTGAAGTTTGAAAATTGTATTTTAAAAATACTGAATACAGGCGCGGACTGGAAAGATGGGCATATGGCGATAGCCCCTGGGCCTTCTAATATCGCTATGCTCGGGCCTAAAGTAACCAAATGATTAATAAAGTAATATCTAAAAAATGTTCTAAATGTTCTATAGTAATTCAAAATGAAATATAAATTATTTAATTTACGTGGTTTTGTATGTCGTAACACAGAACAAAAAGTAGAACAAACTATACATGGAAAAAGCAGCAGAGAAATGTGTACGACGATGATGAGTCTGCTACCTGGATATTTACGTGCGTATGGTCATACAGCAGTTACCGTGCTCGGCTGACACTCCGTATTAGTTGTGGGTGTCAAAAGGCCGTTGTTATAGAAAGGGAATAAGGGTAACACCTAGGTATGAGATACAGACGAAGTGCAAGACACAAATACTGGGCGTACCGGTAATGAATATAACAAAATACGAGGTGCAGACGAAGTAAAAGACACTATGAAAAGTTAAGGACGGGAGTAGGTAGGTGAAAAAGGAAAAACAAAGACTTGATATTTTGCAGTAAGCCCGACAGCGACAACCGAGTAATGAGACTGATGAATCACACAAAGCACTGGAATCGACTGACCACGATGGCCAGGTCCTTTGAGTTTAAATAGCAATTCGGACGATTGCCAATTTTGCAATAAATATTGATCGTCAATTCATCAGTTTCAGAAGCAGATGCACTTTATCTGTGTTTTATTATAATAAATTCTTACATGAACATGAGAATGATTGATTTACTGTGTTTCTTGAATAAAATTATATAATATAATTTTCTTTCGGATTGAAATACGAAGGTTTTACGAAAAGATAAAAATATAGAAAAGCGAAGTGATGTTTGAAAATTTATTAATATAATTATAATTTGAAATAGAAATTATTATGATTAATCATCACACTTTAAGTATCAATAACGTCACTCGCGCGAATAGTTATCTAAGCTTGTACTGACTGTGAGTCGTGTCAATAAATACTTCGAGTAGTATAGGAGCCACAAATGGGTTCTCTATCTTCGCAAAAGAGTATTTGTATTGACCACACAAGTAGCTATTTATTTTAATAATATTTTATTCTAGTAATCACTTAATTTTTCTGATTACCTGCTTAATTTATATACTTAGTATACTTAACTTTACACTTTATGCATCTTCTGTGAAATATAAGTTTACTTTTGTGATGTTGGAAGCAAGGATGAAAATAAATATGCTTCGATTTTTTGTGAATTTATAATGTATGCCTTGCCATTTCTTGCACTTGTTGAAAGATCATAAAGTGAAGGAGTAAGTCAAAATGACAGTTTTTGTGCTCTTTTATATTAAATGTAATTCATCTATGTGTGTAAGAAGTGTTACGACCTTTTACTATTATCTGTTTGTTATTCGATTGTGTTAGTATTATTTTATTTAAAATAGATGATTTGCCACAATTAAAGAATTCCTTATGGTATTACATTAAAATAATATATTTTTAATTTGATGACTAACAAACAATAATTTATAGATTCCTGAATAATGAGTGGTGTATGTATTATAACAGTTCCCTTAAAATGTTTAAATTATACATTTTTTTTTAACTATGAATAAAGACGAAGATATTTATTTCTATTCTTATTTCTTCCTTCTTTTTTGGTTATTAGTAACGAGTAGAATGACGCAAACAAAAGAAATAGTTAAGATATAAGAATAGTAATTTGACATCTTTTCACAGATTTTTTTATTTTATTTTACAATTACTTAGTGAGTTCCGATTTGCAATGTTTTTTAACGTAAACACTCGATCATGTGACTTGAAGAAAATTACACAACTTATCAACATTTTAGTTACATATTGTTTATGAATTTTTCTGTTTCTAATAGGTTTTTTGTCACTATCTCCGAAAATCCCTTTAATTTTTCTTTACCGTAAATATTTTAGTCAAGATTTGAATATTTGTGAAATTATGGATTTTTTACTTCAAATTTTAATTAAAAAAAAAATTTATAGTAAGGGTTTGATCTGGCCTAGTAAGGAGTAGAAAAGTATGTATTCGCGCACGGGGTCCAGGGTTCGATCCTCAGGGTGCAAACTAGATATTGCTTGTGATTTTCTCATTGATGGTGTAAGTCGGCTATAATACCCGTCCCGTACATAATTGGCCTAGCCAAAAACCATTTTATAATTCCCTTACATGTGAAACCGCCTTTTGTAGTATGATAAGTTCGGGATATAGAAGGATGTAAAACTGATCATTTATCTTAGTATCATGATGATAATTTGTGCACGATTTTATTTTTACCATCACATTGTTTTTTGGAAATTTTTTAGTAAACAATTTTTTCTACCATGCCTGTAAGAGTAAAAAAATTGATCATCCCCTAAAATGAGTTCTAAATACGCTCTTAATTCTAATATAAGATTTTATGTTACTGGTCCGTAAAAAAAAAATTGACCTCATTCAAGACTATTATATGAAAAAATTCTGGCACAGCCAATGTCTTATTTATTCAATTAAGTGTACGTATAAAGTGAGCAAAAAATCACTTTTTCTCCACAGTAACATAGAATAACTCTAAATTTTTACCCTAACTACGCTAATGCCAATAGTTATGTTATAATAAATCATCATCATTATTTATGTTGTAATAAATCGATAAAATAAAAATTGCAATGTTATAACATTTAGAAAATACTTGATATTTAAACATAAAAATCACGTTTTTTTTTATTATCCTTATTATAATAATTTCTTAATTTTTGAAAAATGATTGACCCTAACGTATAATAAGTGTAGATTGTTGTAATAACTAAAATAAAATTGATTTACTAACTAATTGATCTATGAGGTCTTAATGAAAACACCAACGTAGTATTACTAGGATACTAAAATCACAGAATTAACAAATCTTCGAAATTGATAAAATCAATAATAAACACAAATTAACTGTATAAAGGTAACCATTATGATATCATAGAATAAATTCTTCTGTCTATGTTTTCCTCGCGATCAAGAGCAACAGTTGTTATCAGAGACGCTATATTATTTCTTATCAATTTCAATCACATAACTGCCGTTATTAATGTTGATAAAAATTACAAAATTAAAAAAAAAATAAGCTGAACTATGTAATTTTTAAATATTAATGTATTTTTATTTTATTACTTTGATGTTAAAAATATTTTTTATTCCTATTTTTAACTAAATTCATGAATATAAGTGGCAAATCATAATATTTAATTGCTTTATAAGTTAAAATTTCACTAAATGATTTCATCATTGAACGGACGTTAAAAAATTTAATTAGTAAAAATATTACAAATTAAACTTTTATGTTAAAAATATTGTTGGTGATTTTCAATGTATTGTAAAATTATTTTTAATTTTTTTATTAAAATCTATTAAATTTTAACTACATTTTAAGAGGCTTATTTTAAACCATCTTTACGTAAACAACAATTTATTATTAATCATAACATCATGACCCAATCCGAAGATTATGAAAATATTAGATACAAACTTGATAAACTTGGATATCGTCAATATATGTCTATTGAATCTTTTGATTTGGTAAATCAATTAGTTGCAGATTTACTGCAAACTACAGAAAGTTTAAAACATTACAAAAATATAGCACAAAATTCATTAGAAGTAGCGCGTAATTTGGAAGCAAAATCTTCACCATATATAAGAGATACTTGTTCATTAATTCAAGAATATAACAAATTGCAAGCAACACTAAAAGAACTTAGTGAAAATAAAAAAAGTAAATTTTTCTTTAGTAAATAAAATTTAAATTAATAATTTTATTTGGAATTATTAAAACTTAAGACTAAGCTTTAGCTTAAAACTTGTTTTAAAAATGAATTTTAGTATTCTACTGTAGATGCTTTTAAATTTTATTTAAATATTGAGTATTTTAGTTGTATATTTTATTAATTGCAGATACATTATAAATGCTTTTTTAATGTTGTTTTACTTAAAAATATATTTGAGTGTCATAAATGTAAGAATTAATATTCCTACTATGATTTAATAATGAATATACATGATAATAAGAGAATATTTAAATATTATTGTATTAATATTTAATTTCCTTTTGTTAAAGAAATTGCTTGTGATAAAGATAACTTACATAATTTTACTATAAGAGTATAATATATACTTCTATATAGCAAAATCATTTTACTTTTAGTGCTTGAACATGATATATCAGTTTTAAAATCCAAAAACCACAAAGATAATCAAGAAAATGAAAAACTTAAACAATGTATTATTGATTTAGAAGAAGAAGCTGTATCTAGAAATGCTAAATTATTGGAATTGGGAAGTATGTTTCTGATTCCTCAAGTAGAAGTGAAAAAAAGTAAAATTACAATTTTTAAGAATTTTTATTATGTGGCACTAATAGTGATGCAATAAATTATAATAACCAACACATATTAAACTAAAATTATTTATTATTATTAATAGGTGTTTACTTTTAGTTAATAATTTTAGTTTTATCTCATTTCTGAAAATTTGGGAAAAAGTGGATACAAGCTATTATTATTATTGCAAATATATGTCATATAAATAAAAAATAATAATAACTTTTAATTAATTAGCCCCATTATATATATTTCTTGTTAATTTAAAGATATTGATTATCAATCTTTAAGACCAAAAATACAAGTTAATAAATCTAGAGTAAAAGAACATGAGAGTAAAGATAAAGATGCTACAAATTTAGAAAATTCTACATTGAAAAAACAGGTTCAAGAATTAACCAAAGATATTAAATTCTTGCAAAAAAATGTTATTAAAACAAAAAATCAAGTAATGATCACATAATTATTTACATTATTTAAAAAAAAAAATAATTTTATTACTTGGAATTTTATTTTAGGCTAAAAAACAGTTACCTAATAATCATTACCTTTTATTTGAAGATTGTAAAAATTTAACTAACATACAAGCTGATAATCAAGTTTTAAAAAGAAACCTTGATGGTAAATAGATAAACTTTTATAATAATAATAAAATAAAATGATTATTTCTTAAGATTAATTTTTTTTTTTAACCCAAGTTCAGAAAACGATGATGTATTTATGGGAGGTCCATAGTGTCTGAGCCCCTTGATAGAAAAATAACTATAGTATCGGCATAATGGAGTGATAAATCTCCCTACTACTCTTCATTTGAAAAACTATTTGATCCTTCTCTATACAAAATTTTTAAATATATCACTGAAAAAAAAGATTTTAATTTTTAATTTAAGATCTTAATGCTTTTGAAATGAACTATAGTATAAAAAAAATATTTCCTTACAACTCTTCTTCCATGACTAATGTTTTGACTTTAACGTTTTGTCAAAATTTCACAATGTTTTTGTTTAATTGACCAATCATTGAAATCCTAATTTGATTATTTTTTTATAATAATCTGATATATTTTGTGTGTAACTATTTAAAGAAATTAAGTTGATACCTTTTTAAAGTATAAGGAACAAACATAATTATTTTTAAATTAAAAATTATATATGTAGTTTATATTCAGAAGGTGATATTTTATAGTAATAAATTTTTGAGATTTTTATAATGTGATGGTGTCACGTTAGCATTACTGCTAATTCAGTGTGTCCGCCGAACATGGTAACTGCTGTACTATCTTTGGTATGTGAATACACAGGCAGCAGACTAATCATTTTCGTACTCACGTTATTCTACGCCTATTCTTTAAGTTAGCTGTTTTGTATTATGACAATAAAGAGAGATTTTTTCTGCCATGTGCCTAAAAATTATTGTGGACATTTGTTTTTTGAATATAAAATATGGCGATTAAGTACATAAATACAATTTGTTTTTATTCTCTTAAAAATTTTCTAAAATGAATATATCCTATTTTAAAATTAGATACTCAACTTACAGTAGCTAAAAAAAGTTTCTAAACAATATTTTTTTTTTTTTTTTGCTAATTATTGAGTGGTTTCAGATAAACAAGTAACTATTTTTATTTTTTTAATTATTTTTACTCATTTTTGTAAAATATTATTTTTAGCATAAAGTAAAATTACACTTAATTAAAAAATTTTTTATAGAAGCAGATGCCAATTATAATGAAGTTTTATTTCGTTTAACTAAAATATCTGAAGAAAAAAAATCTCTTCAACAAACACTTACTGATCATCTTAACAAACATTGTAACTGTGAAAAGGTAATCAACATAAATATATTAATACTTTTCAATCTTTTAACATTTTGCTTTTAACAAGTTAACAGTTAATAATATACAAATAAGCTTAGCAAAATTAAAATTAATTTTAAGTTACAATTAGGTACGTATTCCAGATTTCATGAAACCCATTCTACCAAAATATTTAATATAATATTGTAGTTATGATGATAAACTTGGTAGTATTATGTAAAGATGAAAAAAAATTTTGTTTGTAGTTGAAATAAAATTCTGTCTATAATATAGCACTTTTGTGATTTTTCCATGAGTTCTTAGTACAAATATTAAAAACTATCACTCTTTTTTGCATACAATTTATGTTTTTCTGAATTATATTATCTAAGATATTTAATCAAATATTTTAAATTATATTATTAAAATAAGTGAAATATGTATTTGTTAAAATAACTTTTAAAATGATAAAAAAATTTAAATGAATAATAATAAAGGTTTGAACAATGCTGTTCTAGAACTGATGTAAATATAGAGAGATCAGTTCTACCCAGCATATTTTTCTTAGAAAATTTTATTTATTTTTAGTAAAAATATTATTAAAATAATAGAAAAGTAATTTAGCACTCCAAAAATTTTTTTGTAGTTGCGCGTATGTCATCTAGTTTCTATAAAATTTTAAAAAAAGTTATTAAATTTACAGCATGAATCATCAAGTTAAAATTTATGGTTTGTAAGTATCAGTGTTTGATTCAATTGTAGTTTATAGGTTTTCCTTTAACATAAACAATAATATTTTATTGAAAATGATAAACATAAATTTAATGTTTAAATACAATTTTTTCAGGATATGAGTTTTATGTTTGATATTAATTTGTCTCTAGAAGAACTAAAAAAAAAAAATTGCACTTTAGAAAATGAAAAAATTGAGTATGAGAATAAACTTATGAAAGTTTCTGATGACCAAAAAAAAATGATTGACAAAATAAATTACTTTAAAGATATTGGTAATTTTTTTTATATTTATTTCCAATAAAAAAAAAAATAATGTATGCAAAATTTTATATCATTTTAACCATTGATATGAAGAACATTTTTTTAAATACTATTTACTAGCTATAAAAACACTAAAATATTTGTCTGTGTATTAAAAATTATAATCATCAAATAAATTAAGTTATTATTGAGTTCTACCAATAATGTAAAAGCTTCATACTATTAATACTTTTAATGAAAAATTTTATTCATTAAAAAAATTTATCCATATGACTTTAAATTTGGCTTTCTGTTAATGCAATTGCAAATTATACTTTTATTACACTTTATAAAATAAATATAATATAATAGGTGTACTTTAATGCTCTTTTAAAATCTTATATTTTAAGATGTATTGTTTTATTTAGCAAAAACTAAAAAATCTTATTATGTTAAAAAAATATATTTAAGGATTAATGTAGATCAAATAAACATATTTTTTTTAGAAAATGATTTGATGGCCAAAATTGATAAGTTGTCTGAAGAAAATAAATTACTTCTAAAAAAGTTGATAAGATATGAAAATAATCACCAGAAAACAGGTAAAATTATTTTTTAATTAAAAAATTGTAATATAACTTAATATTAATAAATTTAATATATGGGACGATTGATGTAACATTGACCATGAAATTTCTCCTAAAATAGTAATGATATTAAACTTTTTTTTTTTGGCTTTTTTCTTGATTTATTAGTGTTTCAATATTTTTAAGGTCTCAACGATATTTTAACCATTTATAAATTGAGAAATAAATACTATACAAATAAACAGGAAAAAATGATTATTTTAAAAGAAATTTAGTGATTAATTCTGTATACAATTTCATTATCAAAAAAATCTATGATAAAATACCAATTTTTTTTTTTTTTTACAAATATAAAAATATTGTACTGTGATTATTGTTTAAAGGGTAATAAAATCAAATGGTTTCAAATTAATCATTCAAATAGGATTTTAATAAAAACACAATTTTCATTTAAATTTTAATTAATTATTCTTTCGATTCAGTAAATATTAAGGTAAGCTTTATGAATAATTATTTAAAAAGTAAAATTTGGTTATTTTTACTAACAATATCATTTTTAATATTCAACAGGATACTATTACCTTTTTGTAAGCTTTGAACTCTTATTTCTAATTTGTAAATAATTAGTTTATGAAAATAGTGTAAAATTAAACTAAATCTAGAATATAATGTAAATAAATTATAACTACTAGTTTTGATAGTTCACCATCATCAAGTTACTGATTAAAAAATTAAATAAATAACCAAAATTATTTAATAAATGTAATGAAATAAATAAAACACAATGTAAAATTAGTAAAATATTTGTTTAAGTAAAATTTGATAAAATAAGCTAGTAATGAAAGTATAAAAATATAAAAAAATTCTTATTTTTAAGAGTTTTTTTACTATTATTTTTTTTTATTTATTTTTTTTTTTTCAAGTAATTGTTTTTTATATATATATATGTACAATCATTTAAATAATATTATTGCTATTTCAAGTTTGTGTGAGATGTGATAAATCATATAATAGTGAAATAGACTGTACCCATCACTCCATTAAATCTAATGATATAGATATTACTATAAGTAAATTAAGAGCTGAACGAGATGAATACCTGTATGAAATAAACTGTTTAAAGAGACAGCATCATCATGAAGTATACATTTTTATAATTATTACTTAAATATCAGATATATACTACAAAGTTAGGTTATTTTATTAGATAATTGATTTGAGGAAAAAAATTGAAACATTAACAAATGAAACTCTTAAAACATCAGATAAAAAGTTAACTTTACAGTTAGAGAGAGAGAAGAATGAACTCAGGGAAAAAGTCAGTTGTTTAAAAAGAGAAATTGACTTTTTAAATAATCAATTAAAAGTAAAAGTTAATTTTTTTTTTATTTAAATACTTTTTTATAATACTAATTTTTAATAATTTAAGAAAACCAGAGAATCTATTGACAGTAATGAGTATAATGAACATGAGTATGTTAAACAATTGGAGAAAGAAAAACATCTGCTATTGGAAAAACAACAAACTCTTACTTGGGAAAGTGCTAACAAGCAATATGAAATTGAAAAGTATCAAGATAGTTCATCTCGTTTAAAAGCTGAAATTAAAAAATTAACAAATATTATTAACGATCAAAAGTAAGTTGGTTAGTTTTTAAAAAATGTAATTATTTTATAAAAAAAAGTAAAAATAAAAACTAGATTAAAATAATGATCTTCTATTAGATGTACCTACGATAGACTTGAACGAACATTACAATCTACACAATTTGCTCAGAATACTGTTGAAGAACAGTTAGAAAGAGCACAAGTTAAAATAGAAGAATTAAAACAGATTAATAATAAACTTAATGATCAATTAGATTGTGAACACCAAGAAAAACAAAGATATCATAATAACATAACTATTAATGATGATCATCGTGAATCATTAATGGTAAGAATCAAGTATTTCAAATACCTAAATTTATTCAAAATTTGTAGTAATTAAATAATCTTCATAATTTATTTATTTAAAAAAAAAAACGTATTTTATAAAGAATGAGTTGGAAAAAAAAACAAAACGTATTGTACATCTTGATGGATTGATAATGGATAAAGAACAAGAAATTTCATCTTTACATTCTAAATTGAATGATGCATCAAAAAAAATTGGGTAAATATTGTATCTAAGTAATATATTAACCATAATGGCTTATAAATATTGTTATAAGTCTTTATGGGTTTGATCACTTTAATGTAATTTTACGTTTTTTATAAATTTATTCATAAGCACTCCATAACGAGCATTGATTTTTCAGCAAATTTTTTTATTTAAAAATTTTATTCTCATTTAGATTTTTAATATTAATTTTTTTTTAGTAATGCTCTATATTCTCAAACTGAAACTGAGAAAGTTTGTGATGATTTGAAAACTGAACTGTCTAGCACTAATACTAAGTATAAAATCATTGAAAAAAACCTAAAGAGTCTCGAAAAAGAGAAAAAGTATAAATTAGATTGTTAAAATCTCCCGAATCTATTAACATTCAATTTTTTTCTTAGAAGGTTACAAAATGATCTAGACACTGTGTTGAAAGATAATAAAATTCTACGTAATGATTTAGAGGCATCAAAAAAACAAACAGAAGATTTAAAAATGCAATTGCAGGTTTATGTATTAGAAATTAGACGTATAGAAGAAACACTTGAATGTAAAGAGTCTGAACGAGATGAAATACTGCAGCAATTTAAAATGCTTAACTGTGAAGCAACTCAGTTAGAGAGTAATAACTATAGTTTAGAAAGTGAAGCTAGATCATCAAAAACACTTCTCAAAGAAAAAGAGCATTTACTTGCAGATCTAGAGCGCAAACTCTTAGACAAAGAAGAGCTTATTTCTAACTATGAGACACAGGTTAACTGAAAAATCTAATAGTTTTTACAAAAATATTAACAATTATTTAATGATGTTTTAGATTTTACAATTAACTCAACAAGTTGCATCACTAGAATCACAATTATGTACTAAAAATGATCAGATTGAAAAATTAGAATATGACTTAGATGCGTGTAGAAACATATGTTCTACTATCGATTCAACAAAAATTAATTTAACTGAACGGCTCTGCCGTGCAGAACAGCTACAAAAAAATACAGAAGAAGAACGAGAAAGACTTGATAATGAAGTGTCATCATTAAATACACAAATGGAAAGAGAATGTTCTAAGATATCTACTTTAGAAAAAGTGCTAAGTGAGTCAAGACAAGAATGCATGGAACTAACTATACAAAAAAGCGATTTAAAAGAAAGATTAGAGGAATGCCAACAAAAAATAGAATTTCTTAAAGAAGTATTGTAAGTATCGTTCAATTTTTATTTTATAGTATTGGTTGCAGTTGATATTGTTACAACTATCAATTCAGTAGCACAGACCATGGTTGGACTTCATTACTGAATATATGTTTCATTCTTTCAATTTAATTGAAAAAAATATTCAATAAGTACAACATTAATTTATTACTGTGTAATTGTAAAAGTAGCAATTAAATTCAATTATTTATAATAATTATATTGCTGTAAAATTATATATGCCTATATGGCAAAAATCAATGTATGTACTTAGTTTAAATTATATTAAATCAAATTATTTCCCTTTTAAGTACACTTATTAATATTTTATTATGGAAATATGGATTAATAGAAAAAAAATTTTTTTTTTTATTTAAATATATGTAAAACATTTGCATTGCTTTATTTTTAGACTTAAACAATTAATAATAGTATAGTTCTTGTTTGTAATTAAATAAATCAAAATATGAAATTAATTTTGTTGGGAAGATTAAATTTAATTAATTATTTAATTTTTTTCAGAGATAAAACCAAACATGAATTAACAAATTCTCGTTCAAATGTAGTAGCTAATGAACATGAAATTAATTTATTAAAACGACAACTAAATGATGTGAAATTTGAGAAAGCTAAATTAGAACAATCCCAAAGGTAAGCAAAATGTAGAATTAAAGAAAAACCCAGCACAGTAGAGATGTGGCATAGTTGGGTAAGTATAATGATATCTGACAATGATTAAAATCACTATCATAAAAAACGCTTCAATGCAAATCTGTAGATAGTGTTAAATTTTAATAAATTGATGGATTATTCCAAAAGCTACATGATCTATTTCCTTATTTATATCCTGACTATAAATTTTATGATTAATAAGTGTAATATATGAATAAATAAATATATATAATATAAAAACATATAAAGGGAAATGATGTTATTTAAAAAAAAAATATGTTGAATGATAAAAGGATATAAATATTATTTCTCATGAAAAAATTGTATTGATCCATACACTTTTCAATAAGTTATAGCATTATAAAGTTAAAATTGTAAAATATAAAATCGAGAATTTTAACACAAAAATAGCATACATTAGCCATTTTCACCATGAAGACAAAATAAAGTCCAAATTTTTTTTTATATATAATAAAGTATATTACATAAGCATTAATTTAAAGTATTTTTAAAAGTAAATTTTTTGTGAAAAAGTAGTCATTTTGAATCCCCCCCGTGGGCAGGTAAAGGGTCAGATAAAAAAAAATATATATATCAAATCACAGGTAAGGACATCATGCATCTATAAAAGAGAAATCTATAAAGTGTTTCTTATGATAGTGATTTTAATCTCTGTCAGATATCATCTATACTTGTCCCAACTATGCCACGTAAATACTGTGTCTTAACCCACTGTGCTATCGTCTTTTTTTTTTTTTTTTGAGCTTCGATGTGAAGCTGAGAAGGTATTGGTTTTACTATGATGTGTTTTTTTTTTTTTTTTTGTCTGTTACCACTATTTCTCAGCTCTCATCGAACGGATTTCTTTCAACGATACGTCAAAAGATCACAAGTCGTATCTAGTCGAAGACATTACCCTTAAAAATTGAAAAAATTTCCCTTGTTCCCCGTAAATGGGGGAAACCTCCAAAAAAATTACAAATTTAAAAATCGTTAATTTTCGAAATTTTTTCAATTTTTGTTACTTAAAACTACCATACTTTTTTCAAAAATGACCAAATCAATATAATTTATTTTTTATAGATGCATGATGTCCTTACTTATCATTTGGTATATTTTTTTTGTAAATCTGACCTTTTATCTGCCCATAGGGGCGGATTGAAAATGACAACTTTTTCACAAAAAAATACACTTTTTCAACTTAACTTTTGAAAATGTTCCGGAAGGCCTGACACTTTTATATATATCTTAAATTAAAGCTTATATAATATACTTTAATTTGAAAAATAAAAAATTTGACCTCTGGACTTGTCTTCGTGGTGAAAATGGCTACCGAATGCTATTTTTGTGTGAAAATTCTCGATTTTATTTTTTATATTTTTAACTTTATAATGCTATAACTTATTGAAAAGTGTATGGATCAACACAATTTTTTTATAAGAAATAATATTTTTTAATAATCCCATTTTCATTCGACATACTTTATCTTAATCAGAATATTAATAAGGGAATAGCAAATCATGTAGCTTTTGGAATAATCCACCAATTTTTTTAAATTAAACACTTTCTAAAGATTTGTATCGAAGCGTTTTTTTTTTATAATGATTATAATCACTGTCAGATATCATTTTACTTGATCTAACTATATACGTCACCACTGTACCACGACCCCCCCTGTGCTGGGTTTTTTTTTATTATGAAAATCAGATGATAATTATAACTGTTTATTATAATTTGTCTTTCGAAATATGATACGACCCTGTATTATTTTTAGGGATCATCATAGCACTACAGTATAATTGACAGAAAAATTAAAACTCGTTGATATCTTAAAACGTCCACATTCAAGAGTTTATATTTAAAAAAATTGTATTTTAATTATTTATTATTGTATATTAGTTAATTAATTTATTGTATTTAAATAAAAGTATTTATTATGTTATATAAGGCACGTATTATATTAAAATATAAAGCATATTGAATTTACTCATGTTTTTAAATTAGTTTTAATTATTATTTCGTTTTTCATTCCATTTTTGGTTCCATGAAGGTGCGAAAAAAAAATTAGAATTGAGTTTTCTGTAATTTCTTACATATATATGATTGTATGTGATCTAATTATTATACTAGCGTTTTAATTGTTATTTCGTTTTTTATTAATTTATTTGGTACCATAAAAGCGTGAAGAAAAGCATTACAAAAGTTTCTTATTTTTTTATTAATGTTCTAGAGATAAATATTACACATATCTAATTTCTATTTAATAAAAATTTTCAACTATAGCTAACATTTTTATTTAAAATCGAAAAATTAAATTTCGTATCCGTATATTCGCTCCTTTTTTAAAATTATAACAGCCAGTAGTATTAATTATGTTTTATTCAGTTTTTAGTTCTTGGGGTAACAAGAATGTAAATGACGTATATTTATGAGTGCAAGTAAGCAAATGTAACTTACTTTAAGCTTAGAAGAATTTATGCATTCTTAATAATATTATGTCTTTTAACAAAGACAAATCTATTTTTTTTATTTTAATTTTAAACGGACAGAGTTTATAACAATATATTAAGTCAATGAATAAAGATAAAAATAACTTTATTTACTAATTTTAAAATATTTTCAAATACATTAGTATCTAACATTCCAGAATATATACATTTAATAATACATGGGTATTGTTATTTAGAGATACATTTATTATTATTGTAGGGCGTTGATAATTATTATGTTTTTATATTTGTTTCTAGTGGATATTCCATAGAAATGGTTGCATACTGTAAAATAAATAATATTATAAATCTTATAAGACATAAAAAAAAAATTATTATTAGAAATTTTAACTAAAAATCTTTGCTCCCTATTGTAAATCTGTTTAACCCACCAGAGCGTATGGTAATGTAGATACTTTTTAACACGCTTCTATTAGTTTCACGTGTATGTTGTTTGTTGTTTGTTTGTTTGTAAGTTTGTAACTCTCCAAACGCCACGCGTTATCGCATATTCCGTCGTCTAGACTAGACTGTCATAACGCATTCACCCCTCCCCATGCCACGCTCACCACACGACGGCACACTATTCCTATAAAAATTTATTTTTAGTTATCGTACCCGTATACGCGTGCTTGTCATCAATATTATATATATATAAACAATTTTTATTTTGACTGACCAATACCGCCCGCGTCTAATGCGCCTTACGTATATATATATTTATATATTCCTACCACCGTTTATACCTCAGGTATAACGTTAGTCCTACCCGCCCGCCCACAAAATACTGTTATACCTAGTGCATGATACGTTTACGTACTTAAGTTGCATTATTTGTATATATATTCTAATTACTATTAAAATTTATATATTAACACGATTTATTCTAATTAAGAGATATAAAGTATTCATTCCGATTACGAGGGATGATTCCCGTATCGTCATTTTTCGTCACTACCTCCATGTTCCGGGAGTGGGTAATTTACGCGCCTGCTGCTTTCCTTGGATGTGGTAGCCGTTTCTCAGACTCCCTCTCCGGAATCGAACCCTCATTTCTCGTTACCCGTTACAACCATAACTACTATCATAACTTGAAACTAAAAAGTAAAAAATAAATATAGTTTAAAAAAACTAAAAAAACACGCTTTTAAAGCACATCGAACTAAAAAGTTAAAAATAATTTTTAAAATAAGCTTAAAACAATAATGAACGAAAAATACTAGTATTATTGTAATAAAAGCGT